TTTTTTAATAGACACGGGGCCACGTGGGAACGAACACGCCCCCACACTTCCACAGAGGCCCCCACACTTCCACAGATGCGCGCATACCTCATTTCAAAGGAAAGACGGCATGAAAGAGGGTAATCAAGGTCATAAACTCCCCGAATTTCACACAAGAGGAACAAGGGAGGGGGGAATTGCAGGCGGGGGGTTGCAGAACCAGGAGACACGGAGGAAGAGATAATTATATTCTTAACAAAGAAACAGCATCGACGACAAAAAGCACAGATGGGTCTTTGAACCATGTTAAATACACAAGTTACCAACTCAACCATAAAGATTAAGCAAACAGTATCCATCCTCACTCCAATTGAAAACCAAAAGACAATCTGCACCAGAATCGCGACCCATCATTGTTAATTAAGTACTGACATTATTTACCTTTAAAGAATATCTACACGGCCGGGCCGAAGCATCAAAGAATAATTAGGGCATCTATTTCGCTCCAAAACAAATTCCTAGCCGGGATATCAGATCAAATAATCACAAGAAGTCGAATAATAAGTACGGAATTAAAATAGAAGAGGAATCAAGGGCGGAGAAGGCTCTCAAAATTAACCAAACACAACACCCATGGGAAGCGAGCAACACGACCGCCTTTGTCTTTCCGAGAGGATCTCCACACACAGGCACCAAGCCAGGAAATGACACCCATAAAGGTTGGGTCACGATGAAACATCGTGAACACGGTTTCGGCATAACTGTGCAGATGGAACCAAGCAGCAAATAAGTTGCATTTCAACTTCCAAACCAAACCAACTTAAGCTGTGTGAGACAAAGGTTGTGATCCCAGAGCAAGGGAGGTAATAATTAAGCTCGCTTAACGCGTAAGTTTTCGCGACAAATATTATTCAGTAACAAAACATGGATTCGAATGTTTTTTTTATAACTCGACGCGAATCATCGGTCTGGCTAATGGATAACTTTGGTGGCACCGTCACGAGACCCCCACCCCTTTCTTCCAGAACGACACACACAGCTGTGTCTTCAAAGCTAATAAACACACGGACAAACACGCACGCGAAACACACGGACGGACACACACACGGACGCAGATGGTCCACCCCCACAGGAAGGTTTTATGACACAGCCTTTGAACAACTCGGGAAGCCGAGTGGAATTTTCCGATATAAACCGAAGGAAAATCCATACAAAGCATATCGTCCGGGCTTCGGCTCCAACACACATATCATCCGGGCTACGAGCCCATCTTCGGCTCCACCACAGATCGACAGGGGCTCTGGCCCCCATCACAGATCTCCAGGGCTGTGGCTCCATCTCTCCTCGTCGCCGCCAACGAAGAAGCTCCTGTCATTCAGAATGACGAGGTTTGCGGAGTAGCGACGCGTAGCTACAAGCCGAGGTCTGCACCACCTGAGAAGAATCGCTACCCTGAGTCGCAGAGCTGCGAGTGAAGCCAACAAAGACGCCAACGTCCACCCTGCCACGAACGAAGCATCGCTCCTCGTCAGAGTGACGACCAGCGAACAACCCGCAGGAAAGGCGGAGATCGCTGAACGAGCGACAACGAGCGACACCTTGCGCCACCGAGCGACACCGAGCGACACGAGCGACCGAGCATCTTCAAGGACAGCATCGTGCCAACTCGTCATCTAGCAGTAGAAAGAGAGAGCGCACGAGCAGCACCAAGCCCCGGAACCATCAAGCGCCAAGCAAGCAAGTTTCTTCAAGGAACATCGTGCCAACGCCGCTCAATCCAGCAGTGGAGAGAGAGAGAGAGAGCAAAAGCCGAGCGACACGCCGAGCGAGGGAGCAGCAGGAGCTGTTCGTATCCTCCCACACCACACAAGCTAACGACACAATTAATATTACGAGGGGACAACGCACACACAGCACGCACACGAATAAGACTTTAAAAGAAAAACTGTCTTTTCGTTTCAAAAAGGGTTGCCATTTCGAGGTGGTGCGTTCAATATCAACTGATCGTGCAAAGCAGTTGCTGCCGTCGAGTTACATAAATGCATAAGAGTTTTCGTTATTCATATTGCATAATTGCATAATGTCACAACTGCATAAGTTTTTGTCGTTCATATTAGTTAATTGCATAATCTTGCCCATGAATTATTGACGCATGTTTGACCTGCATGATAGAATGTCACGTGCTTGTTAGAATAAAATTGTAATCCAGAAGCATATCGAGTGTTCCTTCCAAGTCCATGCAAAACTGTCTTATTCTTGACAACTGTATCCTGTGATGAGATATGAAAATGGAGACCTAAAATATTATAACACACACTAGGATAATCGGTAAATGAATCTATGATAATCGTGTTATCCTGATTGATAACCCTGGATAAACGAAACTAAGCAAATTATCGTAACTGCACACATTAACATAATCGCAAGCCTCCGCATAAATTACTACGATTATCTCCGTGATTATAATAATTTATGCATATAATTACACGCATTATCATAATTTATGCGTATTAATACACACACTATCATAATTAATGCGATTTGCGCATTTTTCGGAAAATTATTAATTTTTTTATTTTTATCAAATTTCATAATTCCAAGACATACAACAGACCCAAAAAAAAAATCAGTTAACAAGATATCTTATGAGTTATGCTCCAAAAGTGTAACGTCTTGTAGCATCACACGCGGCCGTCCTTACGATGGAATCCGTCAACGCAAGTGAATGTATGCACACTGTGAGTTGCACTGTGACACGTGCGCCGTGAAGCAGACGGCACGCGGAGTAGCTCGCGGTAATGGACACCGCAGTAAGCAGACGGGCCTGCCGGGTCTGAACCGTGGAGCTCTGCAACGAGCAGCGAACGCGCTCCATGTAAACTGTCACGCGGATGACTATCAGATGTAATTGTGCCTCTCTTAGTCAACTATGAAACAAATGCAGTCTTACAGCCACGACCAAACCAAGGCCTTATATATATTTACATATTTTTTACATCAAAATCATCTAAAGATGGCACAGCTCCACTGAGAATGCGTAACCAAAGTAACACGATACAAATCAGAAGAGGTGTCGGACAATGAGCATCACTCTCGTCAAAGCCATTCTCAGCGACATTGGAAGATATCTTACAATGTTGGAGAAAATTTGACATCAATAAAATGGTGAAAATGTTAACCATCTCAGATCTTCGTGTAAGAGAGTAATTGTACCAAGCAACGGAAACGAATGACAGTGAATGGCTGAACTTGACTAATACGGCTCCTTTGACATGACTGCGCCAAAAGGGGGATTCCCCAAGTCCTTGCAACTTCAGCCGAGTAATAATTAATATCCTGGAATTTTGGCTCGACCAGCCAATAGCTGGCGGTCCAAAGGTATTTCCTGGCACGCAAACTGGCTTAAATAGCAGAGTCGTAACTCGCTGTCAGGAGTGACACATTTGGACTCGCCTGGTGAGAGAGTAAAGGAAAAGCACAGAGGAGGCAGCCAAGAGAGAGAGAGCAAGTACGCAAACAGAGAACACACAGCAAGAGTAGACGCAGATAGCAGCAACGTAGAGAATGAGAGATGCAGAGAAAAGGGTAACTAACAGTAATTGTGATCGTGCATGGCTTCAACTCTCCGTGTGGTTGGGGGTTGACACAGCCCATCATCCCTCCAGAGTCAATAAAATGACTCCATTTTGTGGGGACGTTGGATCGCCTTGCTCCCCGCCAGTGGAATGAGGAATTTCCACCACTGGCCCAGGGCTATAAATAGGAGTTAGACACAGCCTCAGTGCCCATTTGAGCAGGAAATCACTTTGACTTCAAACTTAGTTGGAGTCTTTACGATTCTATTGGACATAAATGTGATAATCTAATAAAACAACAGCATCATCACGCGAGTTTGCAGAACACGCTCGCGGTACGGAGGGATCCTTCTGAGACTCACTGAAGCTTTCTCCGATAACCAGTTAATTTACAATGTACACGTTATAGGACGGAGTTAAAATGGCTATTAAGATACAAATAATAGATTTACCTTCCCTCTTTCCCATGACGCATGCCCCACTATTCTGTGCAGCGTCTTCCGATGCGAGTGGCATTCACACCCCCACTCGCACTGTGAGCTCGACAATGCGATGGTCGGGTCACTGGCACATGGCCCATGTCCCGGTGCCAAGGCCGTGCAGCCCCCACGGCCATGAGTCGTTTGTAGGCACTGTCGAGCCTGCCCAGAGCACTGAGACTCGGTGAATTGAGTAGCGCTGGCTTGACACGATGCCTCCCTCACGGCACTTCTCTAAGGGTTGTTATACATCTCCCAGAAGTAGGCCAAAACACACGATTACACCCACAGAGATTTGTAAGACCGTACTAAAATCCACTTGTAGATTGATTGTAGATTCGTAAAGGTTATGCATTCAGTTTTGCTCGTGTTTAGCAAATAGGCTTGATGTGGAAATAAAAGTCAGACTGATATTCTGCTCCAATATACGCACTCGTGCGGCTTTTTGCTAGCGATCAAACCAACACAGCCACAGCATCGCGCGCTTTTAGATGCGCTTCTGCGGCCGTCTGGAACGCTCTTCCGATATTAGGACGCCACTGAAGCTATGCACTTTAAAATCTAGATTGAAAACGAATTTCTTGAGAACTACGTTTTGTGTTTAGTTTGTTGTCCTTCCCCCGCACCTTCGATTAGCACGGTTGACTACGTAGGGGGGGAAATAATTTCAACATCCTGTACATACACTGCAAAACAGGGGGAGAACGTACAAACTCTGCCAGAAAGGCACCCATGAACTCGCGAATCGAACCCAGGCTCTTGTTGCTGCGAGGCACGAGTATTTCCACTGCGCCACCCAGCCGCCCGCTAAGGCTACACCAGGTGAGAAGACTGCACTCAGGGCTACACCAGGTGAGAAGACGCGTGGAACCCGGGGTGGTGTGCGCGCGCCACGCGTGTCTGCAGGACTGGGGGTGCCCCCGGGGCCGGTCGGGCCCCCGGGGCTCGCTCGCTCGCTCGCACGCACGGTGCACGGTGAGCAGGACGGGCTCGCTCGCGCCCCGGCTCACGGCGTTGCTGGCGAGGCACGCGTACGAGTCGCTGTCCCCCAGCAGCACGGGCGCCAGCGTGAGCGAGTGACCACCCGCCGACAGCCGGTGCCTGGAGCCGTTGGTCAGCGGCGCTCCCCCCTTGAGCCACGCGTAGACGGCCCGGGTGCCGTTCGCGTGCGAACAGTTCATGGTCACGGCCTCCGCCATCTCCACGGCCACCGGGGAGGAGATGATGACCACTGGCTTGGAGATGGGCACTGAGCGAGAGGACAGCGTATAACGCAGCGGCCATTCGCATCAAGCAACCGCGTCGTGTTCCGCGCACGTTTTGAAGTCGTAACGATTGCTGAGCACGCAGCTGTACGAGCTCTGGGGAAACACCGATGGGAGGGAATTCCAGAGTGGAGCGGCGCGAGGAAATCAGCTGAGCGAGAGCAAATTGTGTTGTGACCTGCAGTGTGGTGGTTGGCCAGAGTGTGGTGCATGAAAGGAAACAGCCTGGTAGACCACGTCTTCAACGAGGGTGGAGGCGTCAATTCGTTAGGATCACGGGAGCAGTCGCCATGGTGGTAATCAAGGAGTGTCAGCCAAGGTAGGGAACGCGTCCCAGAAAGGTTCCCCTCTTGCGGAGATGGAGCGATTAAATCCACCTGTGTGTGCAGGTGCCACGTGGATTGTCATATCGCAGGGTAATGAGAGATGGCGACGGCTTGGGGACGCCTTCACGCAGAAGTGGATTGAGCATGGCTGATGATGATTGTACAAAAACAGTAACGTCAATAATACATCTTGGTAATTAGACTAAAGATGTATAGCATAAACTTTAACTTGGTTCTGAATAACGAACGGCACAGCCACGTGTCTTGTTTCGTGCTTTCTTTGCCGTGCCGAGATTGGAGTACTGAGGGTGGGACCCCAAAAGGCGAAGCGCATCCTTTGGAAGCATGCGGCACCCAAATTATCATTACAATGAAATAACACAGCACCTACAACTCTCTACAAAAAAAACCCCATAAATGAGGTTGATGATGTTAAATATTTGGTACGAATCGTTGGCACCCCTGGAAACATTTACTCAAATCCATCTACGAGAGTCTGCGTGAGTGAGATGACACGAGGGTTATCGGGGTGGGTCTGGTGAGAGTGCTGGTGGCGTCAATAAGCCGGAGCACCGCACTCAGACGCTTGGGTGCGCCGTGACCCTGGTTTACGCACCATCGACTGTGAGCTGAACGGAGTGATGTCCAACGACAGCGTCTTCCGTGATGGTGATTTCCACTTCGTATGTCCCTTCGTCGGACAGCCGTAGAAGCATCAGCTGCAGCGAGCCGTTGCGGAACACGTGGACCCGGTTGGCAAATTCCACCGCGGGCGCTTGTCCCTCTCCGCCAAACGACTGCACCACCATGACCGTTCTTGAGACCGAGGGCGAGTGAGCGCCGCTCGTGGGCCGGATGAGGCGCCACTTGATGACGGGCATGCCGCCGCTCTGCGACGAGTAGCGCACGGAGAGCAGCGCGGTGCTGGCTGCCGTGCCCCGCACTGACCCCGCGGGCCCCGTCACGTTCACGGCCCTGGAGGAACCTGCGCAGCGGGGGTGGTGAGGGCATCTCACCGAGCAATCCCTGCTGTCCGGGATTCAGGACAATTGTTCTCTATCGAGCACCGAATGCCAAGGGGTGGCCACTTGGCCCGAGTCAACCTCATCGGACCCAATCTGACGCGGTTTAAAATCCTAAGGTCAGGTCGAGCCGGCTCGCAGCAAACTGGGTCGAGTCAAGTGAGGTCCGGGCGAGCTGGTCGAGTGAAGGTCGAATGGGTCAAGCTGGAACGAGTAAAGCTGGGCTGGGTCAGGCTAAGATGGCTCAAGCCGGGTGGGGTCAAGCCGGGTCAGGTCAAGCTGAGTGGGGTCAAGCCGGGTCAGGTCAAGCGGAGTGGGGTCAAGCCGGGTCAGGTTAAGCGGAGTGGGGTCAAGCCGGGCGGGGTCAAGGTGGGTGGAGCGGGTTCGGGCTGGGCGGCTTACCTGCGGTGAGCGAGGCCGCCGCGGCCAGCAGGAGCAGCGCGCGCATCTCGGGGCCGGCACCGCCGCCGCTGCGGTCCCCTTGGGTGGGAGGGAGCGCCGCTCCGAGGCGACTTCCAGCTCGCTCCTCAACCCGGCACAGACGCTCTGGTCCGGTTCTAACTTGGCGGAAACGCTGACGACCGAACCAATGGCATGCAAAGTGGTTTTGTTTTGTTTTTCTCCAAAAGAATTCGCTAAGAATGGGTGAAGCCCTCGGGAGGCAGGGGACGTGAGCTGCATTCATTGCCGACCCCGCCCTGTGCGCCCGGGCCTGCACTGTGGGCAAACCACGCGCTCGTTCGGCACATCTATTGCCCTGCGTGAGAGCACAAGCTGGCAAGCCAGGCCAACGAAGCGAGCACTTGCTGCACGTACACTTACGGCGCTCTTACAGACTATTGATCCACAATTCATTTTATCTTCAGCATCAATGCTGAACTCTAAGAAGCTCAAGACCATCACGGCCTTAGTAACTGATTCAAAATATATTTTTGGGTCATATCGCTTCAGTAAAATGTGTCGTAAACCCTGCTCCACCCGACACAGCCAATTAATACGGTTGTCATGTGAACGAATGTGGCAATTACTGATTCAGCAGCACCACCGGCAATATCGGAGAGCAATCGACACGCATTGAACTACTGCATTGGGTGTGCATTGAACTACTGCATTGGGTGCGCATTGGACGACTGCATTGGGTGCGCATTGAACGACTGCATTGGGTGCGGAGGTTTCACTTATAGTTACAACCAGCATCATCAGGCAGTTGCTAGAATTTCCTTTGGAATTGATGATCCCTATAAGCATCATAATTAAACATCATCGGATATATTAACACTGTATAATAATGCCTTACTTAATATTACTATGAACTGAATAGAAATGGTGATGTGTAGGCCCTGACTCTTCAAATGTGGCATCAGGTTATGGTGGCAGTATGGGAACGGATGGAGATTCATGGCAATATAAAAACCAGGATAGGGCATTGGAATGTCAGGACACTCTACCAACCGTGGAAGAATATGTTTGTTTGGAGAGCTGAAACGGTACATCTAAATTAGTGGTGTAAGTGAAACTAAGTGGATGGAGTCGGGTCAGTCCCGGATCACGGATTACACTCCGTGGTATATGAAGGGAAGAAGGAAGGGACTTGTGAGCGGGAATCCGGGAATGTCGTAACAGAATTGCATTGTGCATGACCAGGTTTGTATGAGTGGATTATTATAGTCCGGCTATGGTTCAGACATTGCAACGTGTCCGCAAGTGGAAGTTTATGCACCCATGGAGACAGCCGAGGGAGTCTATCAAGGATAAAGTTGACAATAGACGACGGTTAGCTGTGGGGATGGTACACAGGCAGGATGGTCTTCTCCTACAAGGGACTTCAATGCCCAGGTGGGAGCCATCCTGGAAAGCACCATGCTAATTAGCATAATTATTCACTCAGTGCTGTCAAAGTTGGATGCTGCTTTCCATTGATATCCGTTAAGGGTGTTTTCACATCTCTTCTGAATGTTTATTAAACGGAGGTTCAGGGTCGGCATAATTCGTGGGTGTATTTCACGTGAAATGTAATATTTGAAGGAAAAAAAAATGGCAGAACATAAACCGTTGAAATATTGTAGTGTCCAAATTATCCCCTGTGTGGCATAGGATGTATCTGGGTCACTAATAAATCCATCATTGTAATATGACTGTTACTATAAACACGGGAGGTGGGAGTTGACTTTTGCCAAGACGGTGAGTGTGTTTAAAGGATTCTTTGTATATACAGCAATCAACTTTCGTTCGTTTTATCCTGTTTACTATTGCCGTAATGTGTCCACTCGAATGCATATCGGCGACTCTGAGTTACAACGCACATCACCAGGACGCCGTTGGCCAGCATCCAGCACCGCCCGGGCAGAGTCTGACCACAAAGGGGCCCTTCTAGCGGCAGCGTCTCCCGCTCCGCTGAGCGAAGCGGGAACGTGCGTCGCCTACCAACCACCCGCGGCACACGGAGGGGAGGGAGCGAGCCCCGAGGCCCCGCAGAGCCACGCCGTGACCCAAGGGAACTCGTAATTAGCAGCCGGCCACTGAGCCCATATTCTCAAAGCCACAAACCAGCAACTCCTTGGTTTAACCATCGGCCCAAAGGCAAAAGTCGCAGGTTATTTTAAGATGTTCCTGATGTGCGTTTGTAGTAGGTGCTCAGGTTTGACACAACCTTTTACACTGTAGATCAAATCACGGACACGTCTCAGTAAGTCTTGGTCTATCTAAACTGTGCAGTTTACTGTCAGAAATATCAACACGATACTGGAACCAGATCTCACTGCAGATCAATTCCTGCCACCCGAACACAAATATGCCAATTCCCGGACTATGCGGAACAAACCTGGACAGTCGGAAACCCTATTCTCAGTCCAGGTCCGTTTGTAAACATGTTAACCAAAATACGTACGATTCCAATACATGACCACATTTCGAGTCTCTAGTAGCTACACTTAGCATCACGCCCTCCCTATGCACAAGTGTTTTTTAAACATCCAAAATGCACACCCCGAAGACCGTGTGGCGGATGGAATGTGTAGCAGTGAGTTTGTATGTGCAGGGACAGATACGTGGAGGCGTATTGTCTGCTCATTGTTACTACGGAGTTCTCCACAGCGACGCTGATTATTATCGATCCTGAAGCAGATTAGTGCTTTTTTGTAAATGTGATGTGTAATTTTTGATCCTTACCCGTGTATCAAGATACATTTTAATGAGGGACTGTGTGTTGACTTGGTGTGGTCTGGGACTGTTTTGTTGTTTTGCTGCCCTTGTCCAAGCTTGCATTTAGTGTTGAAAAACCGGCAGGAATTTATGTACTGATGCAATTTGTTCTTGTATATTTTTCGTGACTTGCTTACCTCGTCTTTACTTTACACTGCTATCATGTTTTGGACTGTTTGGAGTTGTAACAACATGCTCACCCGCCCCGAATTGACAATTGTTAAAGCGCGCTTCGTAGCTGATGGGATTCCTCCAGGATAAATGTTCCGATTGATTACTTTCTGAAGATGAGGACGCATCGCCCCCTGCTGATAGCATTGTGCAACAAATCTGCACTCACCGGATTAGTGTCAATGGACGTGCAGATATATATTTAGATATTAATGCTGGGCGGAGAAGTTCATCCCCCACCCTGGCGGTGCAATTGTCGTGATGAAAGTTTTGGCTGCAGGAATCACGTGAACTCATTACATTTTGAAAGACATTCATTACGACACACGCAATTCAATTCCAATATTGCGTGATGAAGAAACCTACACTGCAATTGTATTGATGAATCGATGCATCATTAACTCCCAGAATGTGTCTTCACACCTGCCCCAAGGGAAACGTGTATTTATTTTATTTTACACATCCCATCAACCCCACAGCCTTCTGTCACATGGCTAAGGCATAGATATCCATTGCAGGAGGTAACGACATCGACACGTGATACAAATAGCAATTGTTCTATACACGACCCGAGGCAGCATTGTTAGTGGAAGCGTTTAATTGACACATCGATTGTAATGTTGGACTCAAAGAAACATGGCTCCGTTCAACATTACTTGGGTTTGCTCAGGATTTTCAGACGCTCGAAAACGTAAGATGCACCGCAAACTTTGAAAAAAATTCGAAGGTAAACGTAGAATAACGTAACACGGAAAGGAGAATCACTCATTTGCACAAGCGTAACACCAAGACTGTAACACCAAGACTGTAACACCAAGACTGTAACACCAAGACTGTAACACCAAGACTGTAACACCAAGACTGTAACACTGATCTCTCCCCGACTCAGCTGTGCTATGCACACCCCGTGGCCTCCGGCACAGCTCGCAGCTCGCAATCAGGGCCCGAGTATAACATTGCCGGAGCCCTGAGCTCTGCTAAAGATGCCCCATTGAGGAATGTCTGTATATGACATATCGGAATGAAAAGAACCGTTTGAGTATTTTTTCCCACATCTCCTTTACTGTTTAACAATGTAATACAGTACTTGAAACTTACATTTGTTTCGTATTTAGAGGCCCCTCAATGCGAAGCCCTAAGCTGTAGCTTACTTAGTAAAGATCTAAAAACGGCCCTGCTCGCAATCAAAAAGTTGCGAGTGCAATTTCTGGTTGGGGGGTTGACTGAACCCATCATTCCTCATTCGATAAAATATATACCACGTTGTGGAAAATTCAAGTGCTTTTTCCGATAGACAGGGTGATACCCAGCACGGACTCTGCAGAGAATGAGTATGGGAGATTGAGCATCAATGCCCCGATGCCCAATTGAGTAGGAAACAACTTAATTTTCTTACACATGATGCCAAATGTCTCAACAGCAGCTGCCTCAGCACGGTCAGTCACCTCTTTGCGTGGAACGGGAGCCTCAGGGCAGAATAAAATATAAGCAGACCTCGTCATTGTCGCTCACTTATAAATACATAGCAACTGAAGTCCATAGGCCTGTTGGCTTTCAATGCCAATATTATCCTGCAGGACTTGTTTAAGCAAGCAAACACGCAACCGGTTTTAACCTTCTAGGCCTCAGTCCCAGGAGGTCACAATACATCTGATGAGACACTCAATGTGGAAGCCAGTGCAGAGTTTGCTTGTGTTAAACCGATATTGCTGAGATCATGCACCCCCAGGAGACCGTGTGGCTGATGGGACGTGTAAACTAATATTGCTGCATGTCGCATGCGCAGAAATTGTCCGTTTCGTTATTCTGCGTCTTGCTTCCTTCACCCATCCACATCGGAGTGAGTGGGGGGCGCGGGGTCCGTCTCTGCGCAGAAGCCGTCGCACTCCTCCGCCTCTTCCTCTTCCTCCTCGCCGCTGTCGTCCCAGCTGGAGTCGTCGTCGTCAAGGTCGTCGTCCCCGGGCTCGCTGAACAGCTCTTCGTCCTGGGATCCGTCCAGCGCGTTGCTGATGCCCGCTTTGAGGAATCCCTTGACGATGACCTCGGCCGGGATTTCGTCCCAGGCCTCCTTGACGAAGGCGCACACCTCGGGGACCCCGGCGCGCTTCACCCTCCCCGCCGCGGTGACCGCCGCGTTCTCGCGCCTCATCCAGGCGGCCCACTTGGCCCTGACGGCGTCCTTGAAGGGCCCCTTGACGGCGATCTCCACCGGCTGGAGCACCCTGCCGAGACCCCCCGGCACGATGGCCACGCTGACGCGCTCTTCCTCCAGCCACCCCCTCACCGACTCGTGGGCGCTGAACATGTCCATCACGAGCAGCGAGCGCCGCCGCCGCAGCAGCAGCCCCCCACCAGCACCACCACCAGCAGCAGCACCACCAGCAGCAGCACCACCACCAGCAGCACCACCAGCAACACCAGCAGCAGCAGCACCACCAGCAGCAGCAGCAGCGTGTCGCCGCATGAGACACCGGGAGACCCAGGCCTTCATGACCTGCTCGTCGCAGTGGCCCTGCTGCTGCGCCGTCACGGCCACCCCTCCCCCGCACGGGGGCGCGTCCTTGGGCACCGTCTTGCGCTTGAAGATGCACAGCGGGTCGAGCTTGCGGCCATCGGCGCAGCAGGAGAGCACCACGCTGAAGCGCAGCTTCTCGCCCCCCGCGCCCCCCGCGTCTGCGCAGGGCATCTCCAGCCACACGGGCGTCTCGTCCATGCCGACGATGTCGCCCAACGCGTAGTCCTCCTTCTTGCGCATCTTGTAGATGCGGCGGTGGAACTCGTAGATCTTCTCCTCGTACGCGTCGGGCAGCCGCCGCCGCGACGTCGTCACGGCGGCGGCGCGGCGCCCCACGTCGAGTCCCTTGCGGCGCATGAAGCGGCGCACCCACGAGGGGCGCCCCGTGAACCCCGCCAGGCCCCGGCGCTGCGCCAACTCGCGGCCCTTGGCGGCGATGGCCCCCGTGGTGAGCGCCGCCGTCCCCCCCCCCGGCGGCGGCGGCTTCTTCGTGCGCGGCCACGACCCACTGGAAGAGGGCGTCCTCCAGCTCGGGGAAGAAGGCCTTGCGGCCCGAGCCCAGCTTCTTGGCCGTGCGCGGCGTCGCCCTGAAGGAGCCGGCGCGCTTCTGCTCCCGCCAGCGCCGCACGTTCGCCTCGCTCACGGCGAAGTGGCGCGCCGCCGCCCGGTTGCCGTGGCCGCCCTCCTCGGCGAAGCTGGCGACCTGCAGCTTGAAGGCCACCGGGTAGGCGCAGCGGCTCGACGCGGAGGCCATCGCCACTTCGCGCCTCACTGGGGACCCGGGGCCGAACGCGCTGCAGACATTCCGCTCACGACCTCTTCAACGCGTCCTCTGCGGGTGCCCGTCCCGCTGAGCGGCGCGCCCGGCGCACACCACGTCAAGTATTCCCCCCCCCGCCTCGCCGGCGTCGCGCTCGTCGCCAGCTGCAGCTCCTCACCCCCGGATAGGCGCCATGCTCCGGACCACGTACCGGATTATAAGACGCACCTCCCACTTTACTACGCAGTGGGGGGGGGGGCAACAGGAACACAACACAAAGTGCGTCTTATAATCCGGATAATACGGGAGCTGGCTGGGGGCGTGGCCACGGGGCGTGACGAGGGGAAAGGGGGCGGGGCGGCTGGGAGGGGGCGGGGCGGCTGGGGGGGGACGAGGGGGGGAGGGGGCGGGGCGGGGTGGAGGGGGCGGGGCGGGGGGGAGGGGGCGGGGCGGGGGGAAGGGGGCGGGGGGGAGGGGGCGGGGGGGGGAGGGGGCGGGGGGGGGGCGGGGGGGGAGGGGGCGGGGCGGGGGGGAGGGGGCGGGGCGGGGGGGAGGGGGCGGGGCGGGGGGGGAGGGGGCGGGGCGGGGGGGGGAGGGGGCGGGGGGGGGGCGGGGCGGGAGGGGGCGGGGCGGGGGGGGAGGGGGCGGGGCGGGGGGGGAGGGGGCGGGGCGGGGGGGGAGGGGGCGGGGCGGGGGGGGGTCGCCCCTGGGCTCGCTTCCTGCTCGCGATCACGCGGAGGTGGTGGCGAGTGACCGGGCGGAATGAGAGAGGCGATGGTTGTTGTTGTTGAGAGTGGTTGCGGTGGTTGTTGTTGTTGTTGAGAGTGGTTGCGGTGGCCGTGATGGGCAAGCTTTGGTGGTTGTGGTTCGTTGCTGGGAATTGTGCTTGATTGTTGCGGCTGTTTATTGTGCGTGTTGTGTATTGTGATCGATCGTTGTGGTAAGGGTGTTGTGGTTGCGTTTGGTAGTGGTCGAGTGTTGTGGCCGCGTGTGGCGGTGGGTTGAGTGTTGCGGCCGAGTGGTGGTGGTTGAGGGTGCTGGTGGTTGAGGGTGCTGGTTGTGGTTGTGTGGTGGTGGTTGAGGGTGGTGGTGGTGTGGTGGTGGTGGTGGTGTGGTGGTGGTGAGGGTGGTGGTGGTGTGGTGGTGGTGGTGGTGGTTGAGAAGATGGGGGACTCTGGTGAGCGGGCCCCGCTGCTCCACTACCGCCTGCTCAGCGTCGCCGAGGCCGCGCCGCCCCGCGCCGAGCCCAGCAGGAAGCTGAACACCTTCTTCGGGGTCGTGGTGCCCACGCTGCTGTCCATGTTCAGCGTGGTGCTCTACCTGCGCATCGGTGAGCGAGCCAGCCACTCACCCCGCCACTCACCCCGCCACTCACCCAGCCACTCACCCAACCAGCCCCTCGCCCAGCCAGCCACTCACCCATCCACTCACCCATCCACTCACCCAGCCACTCACCCAACCAGCCCCTCGCCCAGCCAGCCACTCGCCCATCCACTCACCCATCCACTCACCCAGCCACTCACCCAGCCACTAACTCACCCAGCCACTCGCCCAGCCACTAACTCACCCAGCTACTCGCCCAGCCACACACCCAGCCGCTCACCCAGCCACTCACTCACCCAGCCACTCGCCCAGCCACTAACTCACCCAGCTACTCGCCCAGCCACTCACTCACCCAGCCACTCACTCGTCCACACACCCAGCCGCTCACCCAGCCACTCACCCAGCCACTCACTCGTCCACACACCCAGCCACTCACCCAGCCACTCACTCAGCTACTCACCCGGCCACTCAACCGGTCACTCATCCAGCCACTCACCCAGCCACTCACCCCGCCACTCACCCAGCCACTCAACCACCCACTCACACAGCAAGCCACTCAGCCACTCACCCAGCTACTAATCCACCCCGCCACTCACTCACCCAGCCACTCACTCACCCAGCCACTCACCCAGCCACTCACTCAGCCACTCACCCAGCCACTCACCCAGCCACTCACCCAGCCACTCACCCAGCCACTCACCCAGCCACTCAACTCACCCAGCCACTCACTCACCCAGCCACTCACCCAGCCACACACTCACCCAGCCACTCCCCCAGCCACTCACCCAGCCACTCACCCAGCCACTCCCCCAGCCACTCACCCAGCCACTCACCCAGCCACTCCCCCAGCCACTCACCCAGCCGCTAACTCACCCAGCCACTCACTCAGCCACTCACCCAGCCACTCACCCAGCCACTCACCCAGCCACTCGCTCGTCCACTCACTCAGCCACTCACTCACCCCGCCACTCACTCCCCCACACACTCACCCAGCCACTCACTCAGCCACTCACTCGTCCACACACTCACCCAGCCACCCACTCACACAGCCACTAACTCAGCCACTCACCCAGCTACTAATCCACCCCGCCACTCACTCACCCAGCCACTCACTCACCCAGCCACTCACTCACCCAGCCACTCACTCACCCAGCCACTTGCTCGCCCACCCAGAATGACTAAAGCAAAACAAACACAGCAAAGTAGAGCAATCGAGAACATAGAAATCAGCACAAAAACAAACATATGACATGGGAAATCGAAAACATTGCGCAAACAAATACATGTAAAATAATATTTTCCCTGTATAACGCAAGTTGGGCCTGGCAGACCACTTAGATTGAGCATTAACTGACACAGGTTGATGAGACATTGTTGCTGTCATCATTAAAATAAAGGTTTGGACCGTTTTGGTGGAATGGAATTTCTCAGGAGATGTTCTTGGTTCTTTCGGTAAAGTGACTTTACCGAAAGAACCAAGAACATGAATCCCTGCAGTCACGAAAGCTTTAAATCGAAATTTCTCAGGAGATGTTCATAGTGAGAGTCTTCGATGCGCTGGAGAATGAGGGAGGCGCTGCGGGTGATGCCAGGTCGTTTGGAGGTGATGGATGAGACTTCCTGAAGCACATTGCACACAACTCTGGACCAGTTTCGACATTCAGTGTGTCATCAGGAGAGTCGGACTTGCTTAAACCAATGCTGGTGAGCTGCCCGATGTTTAAAGGAAAGGACCCTCTTGGATATGGCTCCAGAAGAGTGAGGAATTGCAAATTGATGTCCAGTCTGGTGTCCCTCCCCCGCACCTCCGTTCAGCTACATACGGCGTTAAAGAAGTTTATAATAAACACATTACATGAGTTGTCAGCATGTGCGAGAATACGTTCATTGCTGGTGAAATGATGGCATAATTGCACGTGTTGTAGTGAGTAGCACTGAATGGAAGAGCCGTGTGTGCAGACAGGCAACGAGGGCGTCCATCAGAGGTGTACCCCGCATGCCAGGATAGTGGCTCAGGCTGTGGCAGGTTCTTGTTAAACACAGTTTGTTGTGTTTGCGTGTTTGAGACAGCTGGCCAGGGATTGGGCAAGGACGGAGCCAACTCCACCCAGGCAACCGGAGATCACAGACCGAGATATTTATCGATCTATCGCATTTGCCGAGCACAGGCTCAAAGCCCCAAAACGTCAAGCGGCCAGCCACAAACGGTACCATCAAAGTCATAATAGATAAGGGTCGACACGTTTCTTGAATTTGATGAGGTCGTAAAAGCTGTGGACAAGGTTCGATGGGAGGGAATTCCACAGGGTAACAGTGCGAGGGAATAAGCAGGAAGAAAAATGTAAATAAGTTCAACATACACACTCGTGTGGAAGTGTAGAGTACATGTGTGGAAGTGACCTGCAGTGTGAGTGAGTTGAGACCCGTAGAGGGTGACGGTAGAACTCGCTGTGATTGTTAAGACAAAACAGTTTCTGAATCAACAAATCAGGTTCACGGAAACAGTAACCATGGTAGTAGCGATAGAAGAGTGATAAGGAAGCGATTGACTGCTGATGAGCGAGTGACTGGAGTGCATCGGTGAGTGCCGGACTCAATCCTGAGCTCCAGAGCTCACTGATGCTCTGCTCATTGCTATGGAATGGTATTTTTCAGCCATGTTCACAGTTGCTGAGCATCGATTCACTACTGTAGAACTATTTTTGTTCGAGAATAAGGAACTGATTGAAAATAGAAAAATAAATACCTTCATACTACTTAATGCGATGCCTAAATTAAATAATACTGACCAGCACCCGCCCCCCAACAAAAACATACATTTCTGCCAAAAATCACTAAAGTGCAATGGTGCACTTGGCAGGGAAGCGGCGACCATGTCCTCTCATCACGAGACCTGGGTGAGACCTGGGTGGTGGTGCGTGTTGGTGTGTCCACGGGATGTCCCCCGGCCCTGCCCCCTGGCTGTAATAATAATGCCCTGACAGAGTCCGCAAAGACCCCATCTGCCCTGCCAAGTGGAAACTCAGCTTGGCTCAGCCGCACTTTCCGAATTTCCTGTAAACAGGGAGTAAATGGTTTAATTAGCGCGGTCACCGCCATGAATAGAACTGCCTTTTATTTATCCGGGAAAGCCCCACCGAGTGTCAATACTCTTTTTAAGGAACCTCCTCCGTGGTGATGTTGAGCCGATTTCATGAACGAGTGTTTGGATGACGAGAGGAATCGGGAGGATCCGGAGAGATCCCACGCACGCAAGCGGGTGATACGCAAAGCTCGTTACAAATACAATACAAAAAACAATCTGTGCATTTCTATTGGAATCTTTAATAAAAGCTACAATAACTTTAGGGATGAGTTATGGCTTGTCTAAATGACGCATCTTTTATGTTGCAAATGCTGTAGAAGCACTGAAGAGTCTGCCTGTGCATTGGGAAGCTGATAAAGTTCAGCTCTTGTGGTGTTCAGTTTGGTTGTGATGTTAGTCAGGAGTTACTTGGCCTCAGCCTTGGCCGCTTAAATCTGCATTACAGATATACAGAATCAGAATCTTTATCCTGGAGAAATCCGATGTCCGGTAGGAGTGGGTCAGAAAGTTCACCTGCAGGGTCACGTGAGCGCTGCAGCATGCACGGGGGGGCACGTCACGAGTGTGGTCAGCTGACTGGTAGGAGGGCTCAGGGAAACCGGCCGCGCCGAAATCTGACAGCCTCTCGTGCAGGTCGGTGACATCACGTGGCATCACATGACCACCTGAGTTTTAGTTATAACCAGACAAACTGCTGCGCAGTCGTTTAGTAAACTTATATAATCCTCAACATTGTGGTTGAGACGGTGTTTTATGATGCGACAGCGTTTTGCGAAGGGGAAGTGCAGATGGTCACGCATAATAAAGTCTGAAGCTTGTGTGCTGTGAAATGAAAAAGCCAATTAAACTTGACCTGCATCAGGCAGTGAGCTTTCTGAACGAATGTCCGATAACAGCGATTGTTTAAGCAGGCATGTCGGCAGCATTGATTCCAAACAAGAAAGCTCTGGACCAGTTATGACCTTAAGCGTCTCATCAGTAGTCGGGCTTGCTTGAACAAAAGCTGGTGAATTGCTTGCGGTGACCCAATGCTGTCTGTCGAGGCTACACGGGGGATCTTTGCCTTGATTTCTCTTTGTTGCACAGGGTTCGTGGTGGGCCAGGCCGGGCTGCTGGAGAGCCTGCTCATGTTCGCGGTTGCGTACGTGATCATCGGCCTCACCGTGCTGTCCGTCTGCGCCATCTCCACCAACGGCGCCGTGCAGGGTGGAGGCGTCTACTGTATCCTTGTGCCGTACGCCGGCCGATAATGGAACTGGTCACACATCCCAACACAGAAGCCCCTTTAAAAAGAGTCTTGGCACTCGGTGAGACTTCCTCTGGGTAAATAATTGGCCCTTGCTCACGGTGCAGGCAGCAGATACTGGCACGCTTGAACAAAGTCCTCTAATTTCGATTTAAAGCTTTCGTGACTGCAGGGATTCATCTTCTTGGTTCTTTCGGTAAAGTCACATAGAAGGGAAGTAATAAAATAATAAAAATAAAACATAATAAAACAATTCTCACGACGTTTCGGCCACAACGCAAGCAGCCGTCCTCAGGTGAAAACCAGGTCCGTCGAGGCGACAGAGTCTGAATGAAACAGCACACGAGCTTGGGGCATATATATAAGCTGGGCGCATTGACAAATGAATTTGCATATCAAAAGGAATTTAGCATATTTATGGGAAATGCAGGAATGTGATTAGTCCTGCATATGCATGTGCATTATGCAGGATTAACAGCATCAAAGGGAGCTGCAGTTACTGCTGCTGCTGAAATTACTGCTGCTGCTGCAGTTTCTGCTGCTGCTGCAGTTACTGCTGCTGCTGCAGTTGCTGCTGCTGCTGCACTTGCTGCTGCTGCTGCACTTGCTTCTGCAGCAGCAGCAGCAACTGCAGCAGCAGCAGTAACTGCAGCAGCAGCAGAAACTGCAGCAGCAGCAGTAATTTCAGCAGCAGCAGTAACTGCAGCTCCCTTTGATGCTGTTAATCCTGCATAATGCACATGCATATGCAGGACTAATCACATTCCTGCATTTCCCATAAATATGCTAAATTCCTTTTGATATGCAAATTCATTTGTCAATGCGCCCAGCTTATATATATGCCCCAAGCTCGTGTGCTGTTTCATTCAGACTCTGTCGCCTCGATGGACCTGGTTTTCACCTGAGGACGGCTGCTTGCGTTGTGGCCGAAACGTCGTGAGAATTGTTTTATTATGTTTTATTTTTATTATTTTATTACTTCCCTTCTACGTGACTTTACCGAAAGAACCAAGAAGAGAAAAGTCCTCTAACTTAATACGTAGGCTTTCGCGACCAATATTATTCATAATAAAGATCGCGTGAATATAAAATAAGACTTGTTTGTAGGAAAAATCAGATTTGGACTGAGTGTGTGAGCGTGCGAGTCTGTGGTTAGCGCGGTTGTGCTACGAACCTGGAAACAAAAGTTCGATTCTCGCTCACGGCCACCAACACCAGTGACGATAATTATCGAAACCAGTCCTGGGCCTCCCCTAAGTCGACACAGCCTCAAATGAGTTTTTGGTGCGATATGTAAACATTTCCACTAGGGAGACAAAGGCGGCTGGTCATAGTGTTGGCCACTGACCCCCTCGTGTGACCTGCAGCACATGCCCCAACAGTCTGTGAAGGCTAGATGGGGGCTCTTTTACTGTACGAGTGTGTGGAATCCTGTGTTGCTCACGAGCCTCGCCACGTCTGTCAAATCTTTCAAGCAGATTCTCATTGCCAATGATCACTACGCGGCCCTTACTTCCTCTACGGGTGAGCGGGTGTCATTGTGAAATTAGTCTGTTTCGTGCTCGTTGGGGGCGTTGGCAGGAAGAGCACGGCCCGCGCGGGTTACTGCCGCTACTGTATGACGGCGCCGCGTGCCCCCATGTCTCAGGGGTGTCGCTGTCCTTTGTGGGTTGTGTCAGCTGCGGAGCATGAACAGACAATATAAATTAAACTTTCAGAAAGGATGTAGAGTCATTTTAAGATTTATTTTTTTACTCACAAATAAAACTCGTTCGCAAAGTGTCCCCCATAAATCCCTCAATCCCCCTTTCAAGGTTCAGGAATATAAGAAAGTTGCAAGTCCCTTTAATCCCTCTGCCCATTACATTTCTGGAGAGGTTCTCGCTTCCTATTGAAATGAGAATTGGGCCCAGGCAACGAATCACTAAGTGGTTATGCATTGACCTCACTTCAACAATTTTATCCATAATGCAATGTGCCAGCAACATTTTATAATTTAACTTTCAATGCAAATGAGTTCAGTCCTACTACTTTGTGATTTTTGAAAGGTTTGTCTGTTACTCAATAGCTACTTAATAGTCACTATTCCTATACCAAATCAAAACTGGTTGGACACGGTATGGATGAGAGGAAACAGTCAGACTAGTAGGCCGAGTCCTTAACACGGGTGGTGGTGAGTGGGTGGGTGAGTGAGTTGGTGAGTGAGTGAGTTGATGAGATAGTGGGTGATTTAGTGAGTGAGTGGGTGAGCGTATTGTCATTCATTTTAATGGGGAGCGGTAGTATAGCGGTTAACGCGTTGCGCTACAAACCCGGCAACCCGAGTTCGATTCCTACTCGCAGCCACCAGTGATTATCCGAACCGGTCCTGGGCCTCCCCTAGGTCGATTCATCCTCAAATGAGTACCTGGTGCTATGTGCAAACATCATCACTGGGGAGACAAAGACGTGGTGCTTGTCACCCATCCCCTCATGCCGTTCCGGCCGTCATGAATGCTACTCACTAACAGCACTTGCCTCAACAGTGTTGAAGGCTATACGGGGGGTGTGTTTCCGTCTTTTTGTCATTACCTGCATTATGGTGGTTGAACACTGGAAGAAGACCTCGTTAGTCATCAACATGGGTGGAGGAATTGACGGGTGAATTTCACGGAAGCAGCGCCCATGGTGGTCGCATTAGAATAGTGATGAGAAATTGACAAGGTCACAAGGTCTTCTACAGTGGCACAAGACTCGGTGCCAAATGTACCAAGCAGAGCAGCGACACTCACCCATTGTTGATGCTATCTGCCCCGCTTAGCACAATTTGACAATGCGACGTTTGTTTTGGTAAAGGCATAGCAGAGTACAGTATGTACCGCACTGCCGCCATTTGTCTGGCGTTCGTGCAGGGTAGTTTGGCGGTAGGGAGAACGGCTCCCAATCCAAAACTTGGGCTTGACTCATCATGCCACTGGGGTAGATAAAATAGGTACCACTGTTTGGGGAAAATCAGCAGTGGTTGCCCTGTGGAAAGACCTGGCCCACACCATAGGAATGAGGAATTCCGCCATTGGCGCAGGGCTGTAAACAGGAGATGGGCACCACCTCAATGCTCACTGGCGCAGTAAATCGCTTTTCAGAATCAGAAGTTTATTTTCCACTGAGTAAAGCCCATCGAGCTAAGAAGATTATTTTTCAAGGGCGACTTTGCCAGCAGACAACAAGCTGGTTTTGGTTTGACTCAGGTAGGGACAATTCAGGAATGGACAGTTGTATCTCATTTGTAACACCTCGTTCGAATTGTCTCGTATGTTTCTGTCTTGTTTCTGCAAGTTTTGCTCCTTTAGACTAAATCTACCATAGGCACATAAGTTGTGTATCATTGTACTACGTAACACAATTTTTGTTCCTGGGTAGTAAGTGTTATTTCCTAATTGCTTATGCCTAAAAAGTATAGAAAATGGCAATTTTTTCCCACGAACTTTGCTTTTGTGACCATGACTGATATTTAGAAATTTACCTATTTTCAAGGAGAAAACGGGAGAATTTGTGTATTTTCGTTCGCATAAAGTCAGAAAAAACAACAACATATGAATCAAAATTAACATGTATTTATACTAAAGTAATACAAAAATTACTCCAAAAGATTTAGAAGTGAGTAGTTTTTCGAGATTTACGACTATACTGTAAATCACTTTCACGAATCAGCCCCCAAATTTAGTCTCCCATCATGTTCTCGTGATACTGTCCTTGGTAGCGGCGTTCAAAGTCCAGTACATCCTGGTGGAAGCGCTCGCCTTGCTCCTCCGAGTACGCTCCCATGTTCTTTAATTTATCAAGATGAGCATCAAGGATATGGACTTTGAGGGACATCCTACAGCCCATTGTGCCGTAGTTCTTCACCAGTCTCAACCAGCTCCACATAGTTTTCGACCTTGTAATTGCCCAAGAAGCCACGAACCACTGCGACAAAGCTGTTCCAAGCCGCTTTTTCCTTACTAGTGAGCTTCTTGGGGAATTCATTGCACTCCAGGATATTCTTTACTTGTGGTCCTACGAAGACACCGGCTTTGACCTTTGCCTCAGACAGCTTAGGGAAGAAGTCTTGAAGGTACTTTTGAAGGCTGTCGACTCCTTATCTACAGCTCTGACAAATTGTTTCATAAGGCCCAATTTGATGTGCAGTGGTGGCATCAGCACCTTCCGGGGGTCCACCAGTGGCTCCCACTTGACTTTGTTCCTCCCCACAGAGAACTCAGTCCGCTGTAGCCAGTCCCGCCTGTGGTAGTGCACCTTGGTGTCCCTGCGGTCTCAAAGGCAAAAATAGCAGGGACACTTGGTAAAACCGCCTTGGAGACCCACCAGGAATGCCACCATTTTGAAGTCTCCGATGACCTCCCAACCATACTCTTCATATTTCAAGGCGTCCAGCAAGGTCTTGATGCTGTTATAATCCTCTTTGAGGTACACTGAGTGAGCCAGGGGAAGAGATGGGTGCTTGTTACCATTATGGAGCAGCACAGTTTTCAGGCTCCTGCATGAGCTGTCAATGAAGAGGCGCCACTCATTCTGGCTCCAGGCGATTCCGATTGCCTCGAACAGACTCGTCACATTGTGGCAGAAGCAGAGCCCATCTTGACGGGTGAAGAAGCTGCAAAAAGATTGGTGACGCTTCCTCTGATCTGTGACTTGCACACTTTCATCCAACAAGTTCCACTGCTTGAGCCTAGACTTCAAAAACTCGGCATTGGACTTGGTGAGACCAAGATCTCTGATCAAGTCGTTGAGGTATTTTTGGTTGGGGTAGTATGGGTTTCTCTCCTCAGCTCCACCTCTGAAAATGTCATCTGGATCTACAACCTCTTCCTCGCTCTCTGACTTGCTGCTCTCTTCTGAAGACGGCTGCTCTCTCTCCGGAGGAGTGGGTACAGGGAGTTCATGGCAGTGTGGCATCGGGGCGATGGATGAAGGAAGGTCCGGATACGTGATAGCAGGTGCATTCTTGCCAGTCCGACATTTGGAAGGGTCCACCATGCAGAAGTAGCAGTTGCTTGAGTCGTCAGTGGGTACCCATAACTAATTAGTAAAAGATTCTCGCAACATTTTTCATGTATGATTTTTTTTCAATTACATTGAATATTCTTAAACATTAAAAAATTAAAAACTTTTACAATTAAACATTTTTTAAACAAATTTTATAGCATAAAATTCCGAGCAACAATTGTCCATCTTACCTTCCAGAGTTTTTTTGCATTGCTCGCAGGTGAAATGAGGTGCCCAGGGTTTGTCTTGATCTCCGACAGGCATGCCGAAATATGCCTTGTCGACCTCACACATCTTAGCAGATGCTTCCCAAGATAACTTTTTCGCTCTTGTCTTGATAAATTGACCGCAGACATAGCAAAATGCGTCTGCCGGATGCTTGCAGCCTCTTGATGCCATCTCAGAAAAATGCAGATATGTATCCACTTCAAAATATCACTGTCCCGGTCACAAAGAAAAGTCTGTGGGGAATAATAGCCATTTTTACCGTACTTTAAAGCATAAGCAATTAGGAAATAACACTTACTACCCAGGAACAAAAAAAAAATTGTTACACAGTGTTGTCATTCGCAATGAGTCGATTCGCGCTCGCAGGATTCGGGGCGCAGCGTCTTGCGCCGTAATCGCCATGGCGACCGCTGCTCGTCGTCCTTGACTCGGCTGCTGCTGCTGCGACGTCATATCGCAGTCATGATCAGCAGGGCGCTGGGCCCGGAGTTTGGAGGCAGCATCGGGGTGATGTTCTTCCTGGCCAACGTGTGCTCCAGCGCCGTCTTCTTGCTCGGCCTCACTGAGGCCATCATGGACTCGTTTCGGAAAAGGCGTACGTGCTGCGTCTGCGTGTGAGCGCGTGTGTGTGTACGTAGAGCGGTGGCGCAGTGGTTAGCGCACTCTGCTACGAACGTGGTGACTCGAGTTCGATTCCCGCTCATGACCAATAATGGTGGTGAATATCTTAACCGGTCCGAGGCCTCCTTAAGGTCTACTTGGCCTTTAATTAGTACCTGGTGCGATGTGTAAACATCAGCACTGGGGAGACAAAAGCATCCGGGCATGGTGCTGGACACCCACCCCCTCGTGTGCCGTGCCACCCTTGATAGGTGCTCGCTCTCGGCACTTTCCCAAGCAATTTGTTTAGCCTGTACGGGGGATCTTTGTCTTTGCGTGTGCAGAAATGGGAAAAATCCTCTCACAAACATGTTTGTAACGCTCGGTGACCGTGGTTTTGGTTGCGTTGGTGGCGGTGAGCAGCCGACTTCCCACACGGCCTGCCGGACGCATACATCTGGGTGGTGCTCTACGCCTCGTGCCTCCTGCTCATCTGCCTCGTCGTCGTGTTGGTCGGTGCCGACATCTACTCCAAGGCAGCTTTCATCATCTTCCTGTGCGTCATACTCGTGCTGCTCACCGTCTTCATCTCCTTCTTCGCCGTGCGGAACCGGCACATCGTCGTCAAGCATGGCAACGTCACCTTGAACCTCAACTACAGCGGCCCCAGCCTCGGCACGCTCCACGACAACCTCAAGGGTGAGTGCCGGTTCGGTGGCGGCAGCCAAAGGTCCCCCGTGTGGCCATGACAGGTGCTGTCAGGGCAAGTGTTGTTGAGGCCGTAATTGCACATGAGTGAGCGGCAAGGCCAGCACCACGCCAAGCCACCTTTGTCTTTCCAGTCGTGATGCTTATACACTGCGCCGTGTGCTCGGTTGAGGCCCAATCGACCTAGGGGGGAGGCCGAGGACCGGTTCAGATGCAGTATTTGTTATTGACATTGCCCATTAGCGGGAATGAACTCAGGTCGTTGGGTTCTGTTGCGCAGTGCACTAACCGTTTTCGTCACCACCACCATCGCTCAACATCACCACCACAATCATCACCACAACCACCGCCAGCACTACACAGCTACCGACTCTGTCACTCATATTTGCGTCTAAGCGTCGCCGCAGCGGAACTCTGCTTGTGCCCGGTGTCCGTGACCCTGTATCCAACTATGGGTCTTACATCAGTCTCCGGGAAGTGGCAGCAAATACTGCACACTGAGACAGGTGCGAGGGCTGAGTCTGTGCTGACACAAATCTGACAGTAACTTTCCACTCTGTTGTGTCTCTTTGCGTGTGTGAACAGAACATTACACTCAAGATTACACAACGGGTGTTACGATGAATTTTGCTTCTGTTTTTGCCATCATGTTCAACGGCTGCACGGGCATAATGGCTGGCTCCAACATGTCCGGTACGAACACGTGCACACACGCACACAGATACGTGCACCACACTCGTCACAAGCGCAACAGATGCAGGTCCTCCCTCCTGTTGAGGCTGGCACGGGTCCTGTGAGCAGCATCAAGCTACCTTTGTCTCTCCAACTCAAATGATTGCACATTACACAAGGTACTAATTCAAGTGTCGCACACTCGCCACTGATGTCAGCCATGGCCGAGAATCGAGCCCCCGACGTTTGTGCAGCTTGGGAACTACTGCCCCCTCCACTCCAAACACTCCCAATGATAAGATCCCCTGCATAACAGCTGTGCCATTGCTACCCTCCCATGCCATACACACACACGCGCATTTACACGTATCGTCATGGACACTAACGTGCGGGTTTGCCCGTAAGCGTGTGTGCGTGCGTGTATTTGTAGGGGAGCAGTAGTATAGCAATTGGTGCATTGCTCTAAGAACCTGGTGACGCAGATTTGATTCCCGCACATGGCCAACACCAGTTACGAATATCTGAATTGGTCCTCAGTATCCCCTAGGTCGACTCAGCCTCAAATGAGTACCTGGTGCGGTGTGTAAACATCACCACTGGGGAGACAAAAGCGGCCGGGCATGGTGTTAGCCACTCACCCCCCTCCCCGTGCCGGCGTTGATAAGTGCTCGTTAACAGCCTCAGCAGTCTGCTAATAGGCTATGCGGGGGGATCTTTGTGGTGCGTGTGCCCGTGTGCGACCGTGCGTGCGCTAGGGGACCTGAAGGACCCGAGCTACGCAATCCCGCGCGGCACCATCGCTGCCGTGGTGTTCACGTTCTGCGTGTACGTGCTGCTCTGCTTCATGGTCAGCTGCTCCTGCCCCAGGTGACTGCGCCGTGCACCTCGTTACGCTGCACGGACGGGACGGGTCGCGTGACACGATGCCGTCCACCAAGTGTCCTCCGCACCTCCAGGGATAGTAATCAGAACGATTCAATTGGGTATCCCTCGATTTACGAACGTTCGGTTCTCATTCACGCAATTGGCATTATGGACACTTTTCTATTAACGAAATCAAATTTTCACGTTGACAAAATGTCACGCAGTACGCGCCATGAGATCAAAGAAGAGCCACGCAGGAGGCTGCGTCGTCCGCGACCGTGTCACGGTGTCCCTCCAGTAGCAAAGTAACACCTCCACATCACCTTTTCATTAATTACAAAATGCAGATCTTTTGGTGAGTTCCCAGAAAAAGGTGAATTCTCTTTGTTTTACATGAATTATTAGTGAGTCGTTTTAATCTTTTAAGTTTTTATTATTATTTTTGTATTGTGAAAGTGGTTATGGTGTATATTTTTAGGTTAGGAGTAGAATTGGAATGGCTGTCTGAAATACGTCTAAATTTTTTGTATTAAATCTATGGAAAAGCCATTCCGATTTACAAACTTCCATTATATGCGTGTTTTTTGAAGAACGCCTCCCTTTTGTGAGTCGAGGGATACCTGGAATTATTTTTTGAGTCAGATCGTGAAAGTAAAATGTGTGTCGTACACCCTCCTCCACCCGATACAGCCAATCGGTAAAGTGTTCGCGTGATGAACAAACCTGCCGGATTACCACTGTTTTAAGGGCTGCCTGCCGGACGCGAACCTTGGACCTCTGCAACAAAGACGTAATTCTTCTGCGCTGGTCTGCTCGGTGTCGTTGGTATCAGTCGTTAACGTTCCTCTGCCCGGCACAGACCTCTGCCGTTTGGTTCCGGGGACACAGGGGGTTCACGCGTGCAGTGCTCGGAAGCAGCTGCTGCCGTGTTGGGAATGAGAGCGATGAGATCGCAGGTCGGGCGAGCGAGTGAGTGGACGGTGTGGGCCCCGGTGTCTGCAGGGATTTGCTGCTCTACAACTACGTCTTCATGAGAGACATCAACGTGTGGGGCCCCTTCGTCACCATCGGCATTTACGCCGCGTCGCTCTCCGCCGCCATGAGCTGCCTCATCGGTGCCTCGCGAGTGCTGCACGCCGTCGCACTTGACGACATCTTCGGTGCGCCATTCCTCCTCACTCCTCCTGGCTCCTCCTGGTTCCTCACTCCTTCACCCTCCTCCTCACACCTACATGTGGGGTGGTTGTGGTGATGGTGGTAGTGTCTGTGGCGATAGTGGTGGTGATGGTGATGACGAGGGTTGTGGTGATAATGCTTCTGGTAATGATGGTGTTTGTGGTGGTGATGATGGTTGTGGTGGTGGAGTGACGCGGTTGCGCTGCGCTCTGCCCAGGCGTTCTGCTGAAGGTGGTGAAGCGGACGTCATGCTCTGGGAACCCCTGGGTGGCCGTGCTCGTCTCCTGGTTCCTCGTGCAGGTGCCGCGCACTCGCCCACTTGCTCACTCGCCCACTTGCTCACGCCCTCAATCGCCCGCTCGCTCGACCACTCACGCACCCACTCGCCCACTCGCTCACGGGGGACCTTTGTCTTTGTGTGAATCAGCTGGTGCTGTTTGCGGGGCAGCTGAACACCATCGCAGGCATCGTGACCGTATTCTTCCTGATCGCGTACGCCACCGTGGACCTCGCGTGCCTGGCCATGGAGTGGGCCTCCGCCCCCAACTTCAGGTATGAAATTCCTTACTCCCGACACCCTGCACTCCCGCACTCTACACTGTGGACTTTGCACTCCGACACCCCGCACTCCCACACTCTACACTCTGTCTGCATTCCGCGCCGCTGTTGCTGCTGTCGCTCTGCTCGCAGACCGACGTTCCAGTTCTTCTCATGGCACACCTGCCTGCTGGGCATGGTGGGCTGCCTCATCATGATGTTCATCATCAGCCCCATCTACGCGTCGGCCAGCATCGCCGTTATGCTGCTGCTGCTCGTCTTCATCCACTACCGTTCGCCCTCCAGCAGCTGGGGATACATCAGCCAGGCACTCATCTTCCACCAGGTACCCCCCCCTCCACACCGCTCCACACCAGGACAGAAGGCTGCCTCATAGAGGCTGCTCCACACTCATGCATGGGGTACTCCACACTCTCGCTCGGTGATTAAAGACTCGACATGCGTATGATGCTGCCTCTGCACGCGCCGCTGCGTGTGGCCATGTGTGCTTCGCGACATCTGCCGTCATTTGTCCTGTGCTCCGCACAGGTTCGCAAGTACCTCCTGCTGCTCGACATCCGTAAAGACCACGTCAAGTTCTGGAGGCCACAGATCCTGCTCATGGTCGCCAATCCCCGCTCCAGCTGCCACCTCATCCACTTTGTCAACGATATCAAGAAAGGCGGCCTCTACATCTTGGGGCACGTGGAGGTCGGGGACCTGGGTGGGTGCCGTGGCCCCATGACCCCATTTCCCAGTGACCCGTGTCGTTTTGACCCTGCGTCCCCATCACCCCTGGCCAGAACGTGCCATGGATTTAAGGGATCATGGAAGAGAAAAAATATCGGAGTGGGAGTCTAGTAATGGAAGCGTCAGAGAGGATGTCCCTTTTTAGAGATGGAGCGATGAAATCAGTGTGTGTGCAGGTCCTGGATAGATTATTGCATTGCAGGATCGTGGGAGGTGGAGGTGGCTTGGGGATGCCTTCATTCAGCAGTGGATTGACCATGGCTGATGGTCAATCTAAATCATTTGTGTTCAGTCCTTAGCAGTGATGAACTTGTTATTTCTCGTGGTGGCGTTGTTCAGACTCGATCCCGTACGACCCCCTGGAGAGCCAGGTGAACTACTGGCTCAGCCTGGTGGACAAGCTCAACGTGAAGGCGTTCGTGGACATCACGCTGTCACCCACCGTGCGCCAGGGCGTGCAGAACCTGCTGCGCATCGCCGGCCTGGGTCCGCTGCCACGCTCGCATCGCCTGAAACGCTCACGCCGCTCACGCTGCCCGCACCACTCACACCGCTCACACTGCCCGCGCCGCTCACCCTCACGCTGCCCGCACCGCTCACCCTCACACTGCTCACGCCGCTCACGCTGCCCGCACCACTCACCCTCGCGTCACCCACGCCCGCACTGCCCACACCCGCATTGCACTCGCGCTGGAATCGCTCACGCCGGCCGTGTGTGTGCGTGGCCGCTCCCTGCAGGGGGCATGAAACCCAACACGCTCTTCCTGGGCTTCTACGACGACTGCGTCCCCGACGACTACTTCCTGAGCGAGCCGGCATTTGCGGCACCGCACGGCCCGAGCCGCGAGCGCGACGACCCCGATCACTTTGGGGTGGACACCTCCTCGCTGCTGGTGCGATGCCAGCGCCTCTCAGCCTTGTCTAGACCGCCACCTCTACAGAGCTGAACGTGTGGACAATTTGTTTGGGCAGCAGTTTTTCGGCAGCTCAATGCCAATGTTCAGGTTTGCTGCTCGCCACGACGAGAGGGCTTCAGGAGAGAATTCTTGTAGTTTTGTTATTCCTTCGTGGAAGGGGCGCAGGCTGCAGTGGTTTCCTATATGGGTCCATAGCTTAGGTTGCATGGCCACAGTCGCATTACTGTGGCTTGTCTTTCGTGTAGCTATGTATCTCTTGTGTGTCTGTATCTATGGATATCTATGCATCCATCTCTGTGTGTCTGTATCTATGGATTTCTTTGTATCTCTGTGTGTCTGTATCTATGGATTTCTATGCATCTCTTTTTGTCTGTATCTATGGATCTCTATGTATCTCTGTGTGTCTGTATCTATTGATCTCTATGTATCTCTGTGTGTCTGTATCTATGGATCTCTATGCATCTCTTGTTGTCTATGGATTTACTTTATGATCTAAAGTTTGGGTTGCATGGCCAGATGTGTATAATTGTGGCTCGTCTTTAATTTCCCACTCATGAATGAGATGTATTCATTGGCCTGGTGATGTTCTGATTGTGGTTGATGGTTCCACCAGTGTCTACTCAGGTTGGCTACACTTATGCCTGTTTTGTGTCACTTACACAAAACTAATACCATCATCTAGGTAAATTGGATGTCGTTAACTCAAATCCAGACATTGTCGAAAGAGCATACAGCAGGGAAACCGAGACGACTAGACGACTGGCTTTGTCCTCGTTAGGACTCAGAATCAGAATATTTTATTTATTTATCCTCGAGAAATCCGATGGGCTGTGAAGCTCTTTTTCACAGATGTCCAGTAGTAGCAGGTCAGCAAGTTACAACAACAAACAATACAAAAAAACGATTGGAGTGCAAAGTAGAGAAAAGGTAAGCAAGTCATTCGAAATCAACAAAAATAAATAAAGTATATGAGTGAAAATTGCATAGTATATATATTCCTGCCAATTTCTAATCACTAAAAATAAGTTGGGGCAAGGCTGCAAAACAACAGAAGAGGCGCAGACCACACCAAGACAACACCACACAGTCGTAGTCAGTCGCTCATTACATTTGAACTATCGATACGGTTAAGGATAAAAGTTACAAATCACATTGGCTAATTTGGTTGTAGCCACCACTAATCTGCTTCAGGATATTTTTTAAAGGAAGTTTTACGATGTTAAGGGAGGAAACAAGGTTGTTCCAAAACGTTGGTACAGTCCAGTCATCGATGTTCACCGCTGGCTTGTACCCACGGGATTCTCGACATGGAGAGGCGACTTACTTCAGGGGGGCCCATCATCACCTGCTTAAAACAACTCTCTGCAAATTCCAACATTCTGTACACGACAGAAAAACGCATCCTAACAGGAAATCGTGTGCTTTCTGGAAACAAAGAATTTGCTAAATATTAGATTGGATAAATAAAGGCATAGAGGTAAATGGTGAAGAGTCACCCTTTGTACACGTTTGAGAGATGAGAGCTCCCTCAGAAATCCTCTTGGGCACTTTACGAGACATTGCGGTGCCATCAAGTTAAGCCACAGCCCACACGAAGCACCGCCTTGTGTTGGTTAGGGCGATGTGACCAGTCTTAGGTTGACGCTTTTGTCCAAGTGCAGGCTCGAGGCCTCTTCTCCTTTGCGTGCGACTTTACTCGTCTTTTTCCTTTAGAACATCATTTCTTGATTCCTATGCCTTGCGCATCCCCTGCGATGCGCACGTCCCGCTGCCTCGTGCGGCGTCTTGAGACGGTCGCACTGGTCGTGCCGCCCCCGTCGCAGGCCCACTTCCCTCCCGTGCACGCCCTGGAGTCGCCCAAGGCGCTTTCGGTACGCGAGTACGTGGCCGTGGTGTCGGACGCCATCAAGATGAAGAAGAACGTCTGCCTCTCGCGCTACTTCCACGAGCTGGACATGGCGCTGGTGCGCGGCAAGCGCAGAGGGGCGCCCTCCGTCTCCATCGATGTGTGGCCCCTCAACCTGCTGCGGCCCGACTCGGCCTACTACGTGGACGTCTGCAGCCTCTTCCTGCTGCAGATGGCCTGCATCCTCAACATGGTGTCCTCGTGGCGCCACGCCAAGCTGCGCATCTTCCTGTGCGTCGAGTCGTCTCCCTCCGGAGGTGAGAGGCCGGGCGGTGTCACCGACAATGATAATACTACAGCAAGAGCTTTGTTATCCGGCATCCACGGGGAATGGAGGCTGCCAGTTTATGAAATACTGTATGCCGGTTATTTGAGAGTTAGACTTGTGGTTCACCAAATTTTCCAAGTAAATAAAACTTTTCAAGGAATAAACTAAGCCGACATTTTAACTGATATTTTACAGAGGTACTCGTGAGTCAGTTGTAGAGTATTCTAAGTTGATTGTACAGAAGCAGTGGGGCAGTATACAGTAGTACAGCCTTCGCTAGCACCACCGCTCGGTAGTGTCCTGAAGCTCCTGTAAACAACAGATCTATGATCAGTGCATGGCAAGATGCCAGATGGCTGTCAGAATGTTTCCGGATACGTGAAGGAAGATTTGTATTGTCGTTTATGACATGTCATTAATGGGTGAAATCAAAGCTCAAAGCAAGGAAAGTGTTCTCACTGCTGCTCTTTGATCATTTCCACCACACATGGCACATAGCGTCAAAGCTCTTTTGGGCTCTGCCCTGCAACATGGCACCTCCTGTGTTATTTTCAATGCCAGTCATTTATGCAGGTAAGCCTCGCTGAGTCTCAAGACTCTTTAATGATAATAATAGCAATGTAATCATCATAATGTGTAATTTGTTACGTGCACTTTGCGTTCTCAGAGGAACAGAAGGATTCAGAGGCTTGGGAATCCACAGACGAGCAGGAAGGCAGCCAGAACTGGCACAAATAATTGCCTAAACTCTGTGGCCCTATATTGGGATGTTTTCCTAACTCCATTAAGGAGTGTTGTAAATGTGAGAGGTAACCGGCGTACCTGGAGAACACCCAAGCTTGCGAGGTGGGTAACACCCAATCCCTATACTGATGGACACAGATGGAATTGAATCCACTTGCTGTACTGCCATCATACTCTGCCAAGCTGGGAGATGGCGGCCTCGACACCGATGGTAGGGAGGCAGTTTCACGAATGTGTGGTGATCCACCAACCCTCACTACCTCGACAGTCCTGGGTTCCAGGCCACGTGCAGCGTAGCCACTAGGGCCTGGCTGACGATTGTTGGCAGTGCTGTTCATGTCCTTTCATTCCTGGTGGCGCTCTCCTCGTAAAAATTCCACTGTCCCACTGCGCACGCCCCTTCTGCCGATGCCCTTTGTGCGCCATGCTGCGCATGTGCCTGCTGAGGCTGCTGTGCTGACTTGGCCGTCGTGTTGCTGCTGCTGCTGCCGCCCAGGCATGTGCGAGTCGAGCGACGAGGCGCGCTGGAGGAACAAGGAGGAGAAGCTGCGGGAGCTACTGTCCCAGCTGCGCATCAAGGCCTCCATCCACACCGTGCACTGGGATCAGGTGGTGGCGCTGCACTGGAGCCGCCAGCCGGGAGGGGGGGGCTCGCACGACCACCTGGACGACGATGGCGACGTCGCGATGAGCGACATCGGAGGCTTCCGTGGCGCCGACGGATTCCCAGTGAGAGAGCGAGAGGGCGCCGATCGGGTGAGGAAACGGCCTCTGAAGAGGGACGAGAGGCTGGAAGAGGAGGAGGACGACGGCAGCGGCGGTTCGAGCGAGGAGGATCATCCCAGGAGCTCGTCGAATGCGACGCTTAACTGGATGGCGATGTCCGATGAGTATCTGCGTGCGGTGAACCGCCTGGTGCTGGGCCAGGAGCTCGTCGAGCAGACGGGCGCAGGCCGAGGGGCGGCAGTGCGCCGTCCGCTTCCTCTACTTGCCCAGGCCGCCCGCCGACCCGGCCGGCTACGAGCGCTACCTGCGCCAGCTCGAGACCATCACCGACGGGCTGGGGCCCACGCTGCTCATCCACGGCGTGTCGCAGGTCACCAGCCTCGACATGTGAGTTGTCGGGGCCCGCGGCGCCCGGGGTCTTGGCCATTTCGAGTCGCCAGGTCCGCCGTGGAACGGAGACTCGCGAGTCTCTCCGCGAACGTCACGCGTGAGATTGCGCGGACCCTCGCGTGCCGGAGACCTGCCTACGGGAGACCTGCCTACGGGAGACCTGCGTGCGGGAGACCTGCGTGCGGGAGACCTGCGTGCGGGAGACCTGCGTGCGGGAGACCTGCGTACGGGAGACCTGCGTGCGGGAGACCTGCCTGCGGGAGACCTGTCTACGGGAGACCTGCCTACGGGAAACCTGCGTGCGGGAGACCTGCCTACGGGAGACCTGCGTGCGGGAGACCTGCGTGTCGGTGCCTGTGTGCCGGCAGCTCGATGCCTGGCATGCGATGTGGGCGTTGGGCACGGGCAGCGGGGCCCGAGTGTCGGGCACGCCTGGTTCACCTGTGGTGTTGTGTACGTGCCGTCTCCTCTGGTTTGTCTTTTAAATATATTTCTTTTGCGTCGCTCTGCATTGCATTGCTTGAGTCCGTTGATCACTAAGAAGGGTGTAACTGACCACTAATAATCCCCCCTTTTGTTAAAATTGCGTTGTGATTTGTAGCGTGCGGTCGCTAAAATATTAGATGCAGCGTTGGCGTTACTAATATAGAACTCTCTTCCATTACGGCACCCCCTCCATAGTCAAGTTTACTTTTCCTCGGCCTCTTCGTTGAAATTGTATTTGCATAAAAGTGCCGGGTGAAATCATAGCTGAAAGTGTCACAGTCCTCAAATAAACATTGGGCAGGCCTCAGCTCTACTAAAGTGTCACCCACGTGTCACTTGAGTGTCACCCGCGTGTCACTTGAGTGTCACCCGCGTGTCACTCCTGTTACCCCCTAATGCCACTACAGTGTCACCAGTGTCGCCAGTGTCGCCAGTGTCATCCGAGTGCCACTAAGAGTGTCACCTGCCCTAAGCATCACTCGTATAAATGATCGATCCCAATTTTCCCGAGGACCAAATCTTCTTGAGAGGGTTGGATGGGGTTGAGCCTGGTTAGTTCATGAATGGCTGACCAGGGCTTGTCAGATGCTGTAGGCAATCGGTTGCGAGGTGGCCTCCTTCCATTTAATCAGCGAGGTTTGCGAGGAGTGCTGCGTGTGGTAATTTAGACCTTTGCTTCGCACACTCAATTATTACGACTTGTGTCCATGCAATAGGAATGCTTTGACGTATTGAAGGAGCACGATGCACTTGATGTTTGTAAGGAACTGAAACCACTGGGTACTTTAGCAGAGAAACGAATTGGGAAGGGTGGGGGGCGGGGGTGGAGCAATGTACCCAATGCCCCTGTGCGTTGAATACTGTGGTGGTGCTGAGCTAGTGAGGCCGTGTAGTCCCTATGCCTGTTTAATATCACATGACCAGTGGTTTCCGGGTTTACATTGGCCTTCTGCCTAAAAGGTGCAAAATTGTACAGTTGGTACTTGGTAAAGAATACTGCTGGTGGTGGTTTAGCTGGCAATGTGTGTCTGGCACAGCTTTGTGCCTTACCTGCAGGAGGACGAGGAGCGCGGTTTGAACACTGTTTGCTGTAAGGTGCCACATGGTGGCTGAAGAAATGCCAACGTGTGTGTGCCTCTCAGAGCATCTGCGTGTGTGTGTGTTAATATTGTGCGGCGTTGTCGTCGAGTTTTTAAAATGATACTAAATGTCGCATTCCACCTAACGCTCGCTTCTAACATTGCAATGTGCTTATAACAGTGGTGACAACGATACCTGCTTTGACATGTTTAAACATCCACTTAAATACATGACAACTTTATTATCGTTTTACAAGGTGCTACGTGAATAGCTAAGAGCTCCGGCTTGGTGGTTTCAGGCCGTTAAAACCACTCGTGTCACCGGCGCTGGTGCTGTTCAGGCGCCGTCCCCATCGCGGGGTGGGGATGATGTCACAGAAAAACCCAAAATGACCAAAATGTCAAGCAGCCAGCAACAAAGAGCGCGATGAAAGTTGTAATTGATATTAGTGAACACATTTTGTCAATCGTGAAAGATTATTGTAAGAGCTTGGGAGGAAAAGATGAAAAAATTCCAAAATGTAGCAGGGTGAGGAAAGAAGCATTCATTGAAGTTGTTGTGGCCTTGTGAGTGGGTGAGTTGTGGTTGTTGTGGTTGTTGTGGTTGTTGTGGTGGGTGAGTTGAGTTGTGGTGGGTGAGTTGAGTTGTGGTTGTTGTGGCCTTGTGGTGGGTGGGTGAGTTGTGGTGGTTGTGGCCTTGTGGTGGGTGGGTGAGTTGTGGTTGTTGTGGCCTTGTGGTGGGTGAGTTGAGTTGTGGTTGTTGTGGCTTTGTGGTGGGTGGGTGAGTTGTGGTTGTTGTGGCCTTGTGGTGGGTGAGTTGTGGTTGTTGTGGCCTTGTGAGTGGGTAAGTTGTGGTGGTTGTGGTTGTTGTGGTGGGTGAGTTGAGTTGTGGTTGTTGTGGCCTTGTGGTGGGTGGGTGAGTTGTGGTTGTTGTGGCCTTGTGGTGGGTGGGTAAGTTGTGGTTGTTGTGGCCTTGTGGTGGGTGGGTGAGTTGAGTTGTGGTTGTTGTGGCCTTGTGGTGGGTGAGTTGTGGTGGTTGTGGCCTTGTGGTGGGTGGGTGAGTTGAGTTGTGGTTGTTGTGGCCTTGTGGTGGGTGAGTTGTGGTGGTTGTGGCCTTGTGGTGGGTGGGTGAGTTGAGTTGTGGTTGTTGTAGCCTTGTGGTGGGTGGGTGAGTTGAGTTGTGGTTGTTGAACACAGCATAGATGAGATGAGAGAGTCAGTGTCTGGTTGACCAAGTCCTCAACGTGTGACACCATGTGTACGAAACGCAAGAAGGGACCTTCACAGCAAGGGTCAGAGCAGTCCACGGACTACTATGATCCGAGGAGAACGCCTCTATCCGTGAATTCCTAGCAGCGGGAGAGACGTTGCTGTTTGTGTGGGAGGTGATGGCACACCTCGTCTCCGTGGACAAGCTCTTGTGCCGCACGCAGCGAGTATCTGCAGCGAGTGCGCCCTGCTGTTTGTGATACATTACAGATGCTCAACGTCACTCCTGATGGAAAGGCCACATTCTTGATGCTCGCTTCAAAACTGTTAAGACAGAGCCTCATACGATCACAAGGTGTATTGGAGGTAAACTGCTGAGAAATGTTCAAACTTCGTGTTAAAATTTTAGGAAAGATAAGACAGTTATAGTGTCACAGAGTTTATGATTTAAGCCAAATGATTGTATATGTTAAGGTGGGATAATTTACATTTCTAAATTAAATGTATTCCCTTCATTCGTGAATATTCAACGACATAAGATGCTGTAACTTGTAAAAATGTTAAACCAACATTCAAAAATCATACCTCTTTGTCCATGTCTATGTAGGGTCATTTAGTGTGACGGTTCAAATTTGATTTTAGACTAATTTCTTCCTGTGGATTACCAAATGTTGATTGTTTTACGAATAAAAAACACTGCGATCGTCACGGGCGAGATGCGTGGGTTCAGCAGCAGCAGCAGGAGGCACCGCCACTGCATGTTCAGCAGCAGTGAGCGTCTCTCTCCATGTGTCCTGGAGGTCTTGCTGCCACTGAGCACGGCTGCCAGCCTCTGCATTCATAAACAGAAGAGATGAGGCTGAGATGTGACGAGTGTACAATCATGGCCAGGCAGAAAGCCCACTTATCCACGTAAAATAACATTGACGTCGGCCTACATTCGCCCATTAGTCGATGGGTCTTCCAAACCAGTGCTCTTTTTTTTCCTGGAAAGCACTGGGTGGTAGGAAGCTGATGGGAAAAAAGGTCATGGATGTTATTTTATGATGAAATGGCCTTTGATTGTTGCATATTAATGATCTGTGGTACTCCACCACCATGGGGGTTATGTACTCAACACCTGTGTTTGTATTTTAAGATGCTTCGTGTTTGGGTAATGCTGGACCCGATTGCGCAAGTGGCTGCTTGGAACCTCATCTTGGTTTGTTTTTGTACTGAAATTTGCTTTGCTCGGTTGCTTTTACGCGGCTGCTGATGGTAGTTTCCTCTCTTTAAGACCTCGTTTTATCCAAGCTGACAAACGAGTATGCAAGTCCGTGTTTATACATTGGGAATACAATGTATTGGCTGTTAATGTGGTCTTGGTGTCTTTTATGTGTGAGTGGGGTGCCGTGTGAGTGGGGTGCCGTGAGAGTGGGGTGCCGTGAGAGTGGGGTGCCGTGAGAGTGGGGTGCCGTGAGAGTGGGGTGCCGTGAGAGTGGGGTGCCGTGAGAGTGGGGTGCCGTGAGAGTGGGGTGCCGTGTGAGTGGGGTGCCGTGAGAGTGGGGTGCCGTGAGAGTGGGGTGCCGTGTGAGTGGGGTGCCGTGTGAGTGGGGTGCCGTGAGAGTGGGGTGCCGTGAGAGTGGGGTGCCGTGAGAGTGGGGTGCCGTGAGAGTGGGGTGCCGTGAGAGTGGGGTGCCGTGAGAGTGGGGTGCCGTGAGAGTGGGGTGCCGTGAGAGTGGGGTGCCGTGAGAGTGGGGTGCCGTGAGAGTGGGGTGCCGTGAGAGTGGGGTGCCGTGAGAGTGGGGTGCCGTGAGAGTGGGGTGCCGTGAGAGTGGGGTGCCGTGAGAGTGGGGTGCTGTGTGAGTGGGGTGCTGTGTGAGTGGGGTGCTGTGTGAGTGGGGTGCTGTGTGAGTGGGGTGCTGTGTGAGTGGGGTGCTGTGAGAGTGGGGTGCTGTGAGAGTGGGGCAGTGTGAGTGGGGTGCTGTGAGAGTGGGGTGCTGTGAGAGTGGGGCAGTGTGAGTGGGGTGCTGTGAGAGTGGGGTGCTGTGAGAGTGGGGCAGTGTGAGTGGGGTGCTGTGAGAGTGGGGTGCTGTGTGAGTGGGGTGCTGTGTGAGTGGGGTGCTGTGAGAGTGGGGTGCTGTGAGAGTGGGGTGCTGTGTGAGTGGGGTGCTGTGTGAGTGGGGTGCTGTGTGAGTGGGGTGCTGTGTGAGTGGGGTGCTGTGAGAGTGGGGCAGTGTGAGTGGGGTGCTGTGAGAGTGGGGTGCTGTGTGAGTGGGGTGCAGTGTGAGTGGGGTGCAGTGTGAGTGGGGTGCTGTGTGAGTGGGGTGCTGTGTGAGTGGGGTGCTGTGAGAGTGGGGTGCTGTGTGAGTGGGGTGCAGTGTGAGTGGGGTGCAGTGTGAGTGGGGTGCAGTGTGAGTGGGGTGCAGTGTGAGTGGGGTGCAGTGTGAGTGGGGTGCTGTGTGAGTGGGGTGCTGTGTGAGTGGGAGTGGGGTGCCGTGAGAGTGGGGTGCCGTGAGAGTGGGGTGCTGTGTGAGTGGGGTGCTGTGAGAGTGGTATATTTACCCCCCCGCCCCGCGAAGGGAAGTATAGCCACATATCATTCCCAGCCTTGCCCAAGTGTCACCATTCGTGTTGTTGTGGAGAGTAAAAGCACCACAATAAATAAGCAATACCCGGCTCCTTCACCGTCCCTGAATGTCCCTCCACGCAACAAAAGTGTCTACGCAGTGGGCAGTGGTTCACAACTTCAATCGGACCCTCGGCCATGGCCCAGAGTAGACATTATTGGTACGACCCACGGTGTCAAAGTTTAAGTCGTACAGATATATTTATATGGCTAATAAGAGTTCATAATTTGATAACCCCATAATTCAAAATTGTCATGACCTAATTCACTGTCATTGGCCACACAATAACATTGTAACCCAATAAAGTTATCAACCTCAGCTGTGAAATGTTGGATCTGAGCCCATGAAGTATTGGTCACCTGCATCTCAGTATCGTCAAGGACGACGCTCACGGGGGCGGTGTGGGCGCAGCGAGAGGATGAGGAGCACAGACATTTGAGAACAAATAGCAGGAGCCCATTGTTCACGTTCATTTTGTTTAACCAGCTGGAAACTCAAGAGACCACGACGAAGCCTCATTTCAAGCGAGACTAACGATGGAATGGCAAACAATTGAACGTGCCTCGCTCGGGAGCGTGCGGGTGCGATGTGGATCACGACATTTGAAACGTGCCTGGGTTTCACCAGACTGGATTGTGTGAGGAGCTCAGATCCTACAAAGTTCTGGGCACAGTCCCATCAGTAAGTTCTTCCGGTAGCCGAGGCAACGCTGGGTCATGTAGCCCGCATGGCCAAGCAGCTTCTGTTTGGCCCTTCATCTCCATCAACCCAGAGAGCATTCACGTGGCCTCGAGATGCACCTCGCCTGGCACAAGCTCCGTGGTGACGTCACCACCACCACGTGTTTAATGACGGGACAGCTTGGGGGAAGGACGCCATCCAGCAGTGGATAGGTCGTGGCTGATGCACTGTGAGTAATTCTTGCAGTCACGAAAGCTCCAAATTAGGTATGACACTGTGAGGGGGTTGAAGGTTGGTAGGGGGGTAGGAGGGGGTAAGGGAGGGGTAGTGGGAGGGGCAAGGGGGGGTAGGGAGGGGGTAGGGAGGGGGTAGGGGAGGGGTAGTGGGAGGGGCAAGGGGGGGTAGGAGGGGGTAAGGGAGGGGTAGTGGGAGGGGCAAGGGGGGGTAGGGAGGGAGCCTCCTGCGAGGGGCGGGGCTGCAGCGATCCCTGCCAGCAGCGAGGGGCGGGGCCGTGAGTGGTGAGCAGAGCGGCGCGAGGTCACGGGGTCACCGAGTCACGTGCGTACAGTGCGGCAGCGTGGGTGAGTGGGCACTGTACGCGGAAGTGCAGCAGTGGAGCGAACACTGCTGCTGCTGCACTGCGCCTTGAGAGCTTGGCCTCGTCACGGGAACGGGGAATTGTCACCACGGCGCTTGAGCGCTGCGGTTAGCGCCGCACTCCGCTCCGAACCCAGCGACCCGAGTTTGATTCCCGCTTCACAGCCAACATCGATGACGGGAATCTGAACCCATTCTGGGCCTTTCCTAGGTCGACTCGGCCTTCAACGAGTACCTGGCGCGCCGGTGTGTAAACATCACCACTGGGGAGACAAAGGCATCTGGGAGTGGTGTTGGTTACCCACCCCCTCGTGTACCGTGGCGGCCTTCAGAGGCGCTCACTAACAGCACTTGCCCCACCAGCCTGTGAGGGCTACAGTGTGTCTCTGTGTGACAGTACGTGTCCATGCGCGTGTGTCATTGTGCATGAGTACAGTGCGTGTGTCGCTGTGCGTGTGTCTCGCTGTGTGTGTGTCGCACTGTGTATCGCTGTGTGTGTCTCACTGTGTATCGCTGTGTGTGTCTCACTGTGTCTCGCTGTGTGTGTCTCGCTGTGCGTGTGTCTCGCTGTGTGTGTCTCACTGTGTGTGTGTCTCACTGTCTCGCTGTGTGTGTCTCACTGTGTGTGTCTCACTGTGTCTCGCTGTGTGTGTGTCTCACTGTCTCGCTGTGTGTGTCTCACTGTGTGTGTCTCACTGTGTATCGCTGTGTGTGTGTCTCACTGTGTGTCTCACTGTGTATCGCTGTGTGTGTGTGTCTCGCTGTGTCTCGCTGTGTGTGTCTCGCTGTGTGTGTGTGTGTGTCTCACTGTGTCTCGCTGTGTGTGTCTCGCTGTGTGTGTGTCTCACTGTGTATCGCTGTGTGTGTGTCTCACTGTGTCTCGCTGTGTGTCTCGCTGTGTGTGTGTGTGTCTCACTGTGTCTCGCTGTGTGTGTCTCGCTGTGTGTGTGTGTCTCACTGTGTATCGCTGTGTGTGTGTCTCACTGTGTCTCGCTGTGTGTCTCGCTGTGTGTGTCTCGCTGTGTGTGTCTCGCTGTGTGTGTGTCTCGCTGTGTCTCGCTGTGTGTGTGTATGTGTCTCGCTGTGTGTGTGTGTGTGTCTCGCTGTGTGTGTGTGTCTCGCTGTGTGTCTCGCTGTGTATCGCTGTGTGTGTGTGTCTCGCTGTGTGTGTCTCGCTGTGTGTGTGTCTCACTGTGTCTCGCTGTGTGTGTCTCGCTGTGTGTGTGTCTCACTGTGTATCGCTGTGTGTGTGTGTGTCTCGCTGTGTGTGTCTCGCTGTGTGTGTGTCTCACTGTGTCTCGCTGTGTGTGTCTCGCTGTGTGTGTCTCACCGTGTGTGTGTCGCACTGTGTATCGCTGTGTGTGTCTCGCTGTGTGTCTCACTGTCTCGCTGTGTGTCTCTCACCGTGTGTGTGTCGCACTGTGTATCGCTGTGTGTGTGTCTCGCTGTGTGTCTCACTGTCTCGCTGTGTGTGTCTCGCTGTGTGTGTGTGTCTCACTGTGTGTGTGTCTCACTGTCTCGCTGTGTGTGTGTGTCTCGCTGTGTGTGTGTGTCTCACTGTGTGTGTGTCTCACTCTCGCTGTGTGTGTGTCGCTGTGTGTGTGTGTCTCACTGTCTCGCTGTGTGTGTGTGTCGCTGTGTGTGTCTCACTGTCTCGCTGTGTGTGTGTCTCACTGTCTCGCTGTGTGTGTGTGTCGCTGTGTGTGTGTGTCTCACTGTCTCGCTGTGTGTGTGTGTCGCACTGTGTATCGCTGTGTGTGTGTGTGTCTCACTGTGTGTGTGTCTCGCTGTGTGTGTGTGTCTCGCTGTGTGTGTGTGTCTCACTGTCTCGCTGTGTATGTGTGTCGCTGTGTGTGTGTGTCTCACTGTCTCGCTGTGTGTGTGTGTCGCACTGTGTATCGCTGTGTGTGTGTGTGTGTCTCACTGTGTGTGTCTCGCTGTGTGTGTGTCTCGCTGTGTGTGTGTGTCTCGCTGTGTGTGTGTGTCTCACTGTCTCGCTGTGTGTGTGTGTGTCTCGCTGTGTGTGTGTGTCTCGCTGTGTGTGTGTGTCGCTGTGTGTGTGTCTCACTGTCTCGCTGTGTGTGTCGCACTGTGTATCGCTGTGTGTGTGTGTGTGTCTCACTGTGTGTGTCTCGCTGTGTGTGTGTGTCGCTGTGTGTGTGTGTCTCACTGTCTCGCTGTGTGTGTGTGTCTCACTGTCTCGCTGTGTGTGTGTCGCACTGTGTATCGCTGTGTGTGTGTGTCTCACTGTGTGTGTCTCGCTGTGTGTGTGTCTCGCTGTGTGTGTGTGTCTCGCTGTGTGTGTGTGTGTCTCACTGTCTCGCTGTGTGTGTGTGTGTCTCGCTGTGTGTGTGTGTCTCGCTGTGTGTGTGTGTCTCTCTGTCTCGCTGTGTGTGTGTCTCACTGTCTCGCTGTGTGTGTGTGTCTCGCTGTGTGTGTCTCACTGTCTCGCTGTGTGTGTGTCTCGCTGTGTGTGTGTGTGTCTCGCTGTGTGTGTGTGTCTCACTGTCTCGCTGTGTGTGTGTGTCTCACTGTCTCGCTGTGTGTGTGTGTGTCACTGTCTCGCTGTGTGTGTGTGTCTCACTGTCTCGCTGTGTGTGTGTCGCACTGTGTATCGCTGTGTGTGTGTGTCTCGCTGTGTGTGTGTGTCTCACTGTCTCGCTGTGTGTGTGTGTGTCTCACCGTGTGTGAGACAGGGCGGCTCGACGATGTGGAGCTATCGCGGTCTCTCGGCTGTGGCGCCGTGCCGGTGCCGGTGGTGGGGCCTCCTCGCCCCTAGCCGGGTGGCACCGGCCCGGGGCGAGCGGGCGAGCACCACCACCGCCGACACCACCGCCGACACCACCACCACCGGCACCACCACCGGCACCACCACCGCCGACACCACCACCACCGGCACTGCCCGCACGGCGCGACGCCCCGGCCAGCCCGCCAGACGGGACAAGGCCCGCGCTGCCAAAGGTCACAACGCCGGGGGGGCCGTGCGCTCGTTCATTCATTTCGTGTCCGTCGCAACAAGTTATTCCGCTGCTTGGTGCGGTACCATGGGTGTGTGTGTGTGTGTTAGAATTGGGATTTGAATGAGATTCATATTTACTACGAAACGAATTGTTTGTAGTTATTTAGGCGGAGCTACTATTGTTTTCTAGAATACATAAAAATTAGGGAATGGGCTAAACAATCTGCTGACAATGGTCTACCCCTTCTATTAGTATGTGATAGGGTCTGTGAATGGCAGCATTGCTATGGCTTCTGTACTGCCTGTCATGGATGCGGAGGGATTTTACTAAACGATAAACTATTTTAAGGCGCACGGAGCAATACAGCTCTTTTTCAGAAGCGATCTGGCCACAAAGGATAGCTCAACGACGTGGCTTATGTGTCAGTTTATAGCAGCCAAATACACTAAACGCATGTTTTTAAATATTCGCCAGAAGTTCTGTAACTTTCTGAATGGTAACATTCAGAACACTGAAAATGTAATATAAGAATTGATCATTCCTGCATTATTTATGCAGATTTTTGTTGTACATTCTGTAATAATTTGCCGACACATGAGAGCAGTCTGCTGCCGTACTGCGCATGCACGGCCCATGGAGAGGGGAGGTGCAGGGTGGGGGTGGATCGACCACTGAACGGCACGGATGGAGCAGAGGTCATCCGTCCTAGCTTGCGAACAGTCAGGTTCTCTCCTGTAATTAAAACAATATTGCGGCACACCGGTTGCAAAGCGTGACATTACAACACTCAAGCTGCCCATTTAAGCACTGAACAATGTTGCAAATTTCACAGCCGTGCCTGCCGGTGAAGAGGTGGCAAGAGGGGAAGGCGGGGGCTCGGTGGGAGACAGCGGTGGCAATGGGGAGTGGAGCACCGAGGAGGAGGAGCAGCCGCCGGGCGAGTTTGTTGCCAGCGTCGCCCAGGAGGCGGCCACACACGCCGCGAGGCGGGGCTGGCCCTCGGCTGCCGCGGCCTCCTCCGCCGCTGCCGTGGAGACGGCTGCGCAGGGCCTCCTGGACCTGGGATTCTCGCAGCGTCAAGTCCGCTGTCTGGTGCGGAGCAGCCCTGCCGCGATGCTGCCCTCCACACCACACGCTCAAGCTGGCGCACCGGTGCGTGACTCTGGGCCGTGCTCTCCCTCGACATGCTCAGGCGCCCAATCCTTTACTGTGCATTGAACAAACACGCTGCCTATTCCCCCAGGAAACACGAAGACTCAACTAGGAGCATTGTAATGTTTGCCATGCGGAAGGGAACTGGAATACCCGGAGAAAACCGGTGCATATGAGGGGATAACAATCAGCACCGTCATCTCTTGGCCACACCTCAGCCCCACACCTCCAACACCTGGCAGGTCTTGCCGGTCACTCGTCAAAGCACAAACTAGGCCCATCATGCTTGGCTTAAAATAATTGAAAAGCTCGAGTGCATTCGAGAGGATTTGGCCATTAACTCTGATCACGTAAGACAGATGAGTGACTTCATCAGGGATTGTATCGACAAGAAACGCTTGTGTGTGACTTCATCGCCTTCAGGGCCGGCGAGGATCTCTGAGGATTCCCGTCAGCTGATTTGGCAATGGGCATTGTGTTTGTGTTTCTGCATTTGTCTTCTACAAGAGACTGAGTTGTATTTGGTTACTGAGCAAAACCAAAAATTAAATAATTTAGTGAATGTGTCGACCTCAATTAAGCAGCATTACCACACTGCACAAACATCTGTTTGGTTTTAACAATGATGAAGAAATGGGCCTTTACCAGCTCTGAGCAGCCTGTCTCCAGCTCCATTGTATCGAGGTGAACTCCTGCTTGACTGGAGCAGTTTCGTAATAATTCCCGGGCTTGGGTTTGGCTGCGGATGCTCGTTTGAAGCTGCCGTTCGCTGCTGCTCTGTTTGTGTCTCAGGCCGTGGTCTCGTCGCTGCGGGCACTGCTGGCACTGGGCCTCAGCCGGGCGACGTGCACGAGGGCCGTGACGCAGCAGCCTCAGCTCGCGCTTACGGACGCGCTCGTCATCCAGGGCAGGGGGCGGGCCCTGAGGCGGCACGGCCTCGGAGAAGGTAGTGGCACGGCACGCTGGCTCCACACGTTCCCATGGTACCAGCCTGGCTCTCGCCAACGGCTCCTCACCAGCAGTTATAGTTTGCGTTGACCAGTAGAGCAGCTAAAGCAGCCAAAGTGGGTTTCTGCTGCAATTAATAACTTGTGGCAGTGTTCATTAACTTGTGGCAGTGTAAATTAATTTGAGCGGTCAGGCTGGGCTTGTGCTGGTGATACCTACAAAATGTTTTTTTTCAGGTGACACCATCACTGGATGCCATGTAATGTCGCCCGCAGCAAGTTCTAATGCGGGAGAGTCACGCATGGGCTGTGTGCGCGTGGTACTCCAGGCTGGCTGGAGCATGCTGTCGCCTCCACCCCGGAGCTGCTTGCGCAGACTGAGCGAGGCATTTCTGAGCGCATAAACACGCTGCGCTCCGACTGCCTCTTCAACGGCAAGCAGAGTCAGGAGATCGCTCGCACGACCCCGCGCGCCCTGCTGCACACGCCGTACCACTTGCAGTTTACCTTCCAGGTATCGCCACACTCGCTACTGCACATGCCTTACCAATCACAGTAAAATTGTGCACTGCCAGAAGTCCGTGTGACTGATGGGACGAGAAAAAAATTGTTTACTTTAGTACATGGAGGGACAGCTGTGTAAAGAAGCCATATTGTCTGCTAGTTCATGACTGTAAGCATAGATTGGCCACAAAGCGTCCTTATTCAGGCAATATTCAGGCAATGAACAAGACTGAACGCTAACGAGCGTCGTGTTGTCTCGCAGTACGCCTATTTCCGCATGGGCATGTCGCACGCCGAGATGGTGACCACGCGGATTTTTGGTGCGGATCAGCGCCGCGTCCGGACCCGCCACCAGTTCCTGGAGCGGCGCGGCCTGTTCAGCGTGGAGCGGTCGGGCCCGCATGCGACGCCAGATCCTCGCGGCCCATCCCAGCCTGGACTCGGCTCGTCGCAGAATCCCAAAGCCGCGCATATCATCCGCCTCCCCGATGGCGTTTTCCTCACGAAGCTTGCCAACGGGGCTTCCAAAGAGGAACTGGACGTGTTTAGCCGCCTGCTTGCCCGGGAAGAGTTGGAAGAAGAGTTGCAGGAGGGAGAAGATTCTGAAAATGAGCTTGAGGTAGAGGAGGAGGAGGTGGAGGAGGCGATGGATAATTCCGGGTCGGACAGTGAAGAGGAGAGTGACAGAAGAACGAGAAGAAAGCCATGATTTGACATGGAGCAAGAGGTGCAATGCTTTTTTTTCATGTTGATGATAAAAGTGTGCCCCATCATAGGAATGTGGAATGTCTACCACTGGCTCAGGGTTGTAAATAGGAGATGAGCACCACCTCAATTCTCATTTGCGCAGGAAATGACTTAGATTTTGACTCGTACAAAAAATGGTGATCTGAGTACACTTCCCAGTCATTCTCACATCAGTGGTCAGTGATAACCAGTCCCCATTTTATCAACCCACACTGTCCTGCACAGTGAAGTATGGTCAAACACTCCCTTCAACCAGCACAGTGTGGGGCAGTCTCCGATAAATAACTTTCATATTTTATAAATCACTTAGAATGCAGTTAAACGTTAAATTAATCGTTGATCACCACCATGACTCTCATTCAGTGGCACGGTGCTGTTGGTGGAGTGTTTTTCTCACCGGAAGGTTCGTGAATTTGAATTATGGTTGATGCGTCCTGGTGGGGGTGGACCCCCACTGTGCAGTTCTAAATGTGTTCCCAAATAAAATCTATGTGGCTGTACCTTGGTGGGTTTGAACAATATTAAAAGAACACCTAGGTTTATGTTTAATGATTATTTATGCTCTGAATCTATATTTTTTGTCCCATCTGGTCAGCACATGAAAGTTTTATAGCCAAGCATTTTGCAGTGGGCTCCATAAGTTTGTCCTCTGTGGCAAAATCAGATGTATACGACTGTATTTTTATTACTCTTTGGTTCTTTCGGTAAAGTCACGGAGGTAGAAAACTAATAGATCGCGACGTTTCGATCGCAACACAAGCAATCGTCATCAGGTGGGACAGCCACAGCAAGAACAGCAAGAACTGATGTGGTTGTACCACCTGATGACGATTGCTTGTGTTGCGATCGAAACGTCGTGATCTATTATTTTTCTACCTACGTGACTTTACCGAAAGAACCTAAAAGTTTCAAATCAAGATTGTAATTTTATTCCAAATTATTGCATAGTATGTAATGCCAGAATATAGTTTTAGAGCTAAATAAAGACAATTGCAGTTGTATGATAAACTATATTACGACTCGTTTAACATACCACAGATGCCTGACTTATTGCATTGTTTTAATTCGGTGTCCTGAATAGTTTGGGAGTAAATCGCACCCAGGGTTGGTTGCAAGGGAACTCCTCCGGGCAGCTCTGCGCGAGGGCTCGGGTAGCGCACCGCAGGGCTGAGCCCCCGCAGTCCCCGGTGGGAACCCAGCCAACTCCAGGCGAGGACGAGGGTAGCGCACTCCTCGGGTCAACTGCAGGGCGATTGTGAATGGTGCAGAGTGTGGTCCGTGGGGCAGAGTGTGCTCACGCGTTCACCCCGCGCTCGAGTGACGCGGCTGGTGCGCGACTTCCACGGTGGGACTCGTGGCGGATTCTTCACCACGTGGCCTTCACGTGCGTCGCATGCAGGACGCATGCAGGACTCGCTGAGCTCACGCGGACTTCGTGGCTCATGAGCCGCACGACTTAACCTGGCTCGCAGGCATTGCCCTCTCACGTGCACCACGACATGGCACAGGGCACGTCTCGCTCGCTTCGCTCTTCGGCTGCCTGACGCTGCCGCTCCACACGAAGCTCCCCGGGTCTTCTCTGCCGCCGTGATTAATAACGCCGTCTCTTCTGTTAACCCTGCCAAACGCGGGACACCTGCAGCGGCTTGGCACATGAGGCTGGCGACATACGAGAGAAGCCACCACCCTGTTTCTCAGCCGGCGGGAATGGAGACGCGGGCTGATCGTGTGGGGTCGTGGGCAGCGGCGGTGGAGCGGGTCGCGCACTGCGCCACCAACCCCGAGTTCCATTCCCGCTCGCAGTCGTCTCCGGTGGCGATTATCTGGTAACGGCCGCTTGTGTTGCGATCGAAACGTCGTGATTTGTTTTATTTTATTTCCAGCTGCGTGACTTTACCGAAAGAACCAAAGAGTATGGATTCCTGCAGTCACGAAAGCTTCAAATGAACATGAATATTCACGATCGAGACAATATTGTTACGTATCATTGTGTGCACAGTAACTGCCTTGCTTTCATATTGCAGTGCACCTTGGGGATGTTCAGCTCCATGTTGGGCCCGCATCACAGCTGACCTCCCATGTGCGTGCCATGTGCAGCCATGGGGGAGAGTCTACTTCCGAGAGATGGTCGCTCCATGAGCCGCTCCACGGGGCTCGGTGTCTCCAACAGAATTCTACCAATCGCCAGAGCTGGAGCTGGAGGACGGTGGTGGGAATCTGCGCCGTGCATCACAGTTCACGCGTCCCCTGCACATTCTGCGCGATGTCGTAAGAATATGTTCATAAGCACCGCTACTCATGACAGTCAGGTTCATACTATTTGTAAGTATTTTGCACTTTCACGTTTGCGAAGTAACGGGCAACATGAGGTAGCTCTTGCAAACATGTTGGATTATTAGAAGTTCATGTGGTGCACGAGGTCAGTGGCGGAGTTGTCTTGATGTTCGAGACAGCGAGCGGGGGGCGGGGCTTGAGGAGGGGCGGGGCTTGGGGAAAAGGGGCGGGGCTTGGGGAAAAGGGGCGGGGCTTGAGGAGGGGCGGGGCTTGAGGAGGAGGGGCGGGGCTCGCAGCGCGCGGGGGATGACGGGAGTCGCGGTCGCGTCTATGGAGACGGTGGCGAAGCGGGTGCGAGTGGTGAACGCAGCAGCTTTGACACGGACAGAAGGGGGTGCACAGGGAGAGAGGGGGTACATTAGGGATGACGGGGAGAGAGGGGGTGCACAGGGAGAGAGGGGGTACATCAGGGATGACGGGGAGAGAGGGGGTGCACAGGGAGAGAGGGGGTACATCAGAGATGACGGGGAGAGAGGGGGTGCACAGGGAGAGCGGGGGTACATTAGGGATGACGGGGAGAGAGGGGGTGCACAGGGAGAGAGGGGGTACATCAGGGATGACGGGGAGAGAGGGGGTACATCAGGGGTGCACAGGGAGAGAGGGGGTACATCAGGGATGCACGGGGAGAGAGGGGGTACATCAGGGATGCACGGGGAGAGAGGGGGTACATCAGGGATGCACGGGGAGAGAGGGGGTACATCAGGGATGCACGGGGAGAGAGGGGGTACATCAGGGATGACGGGGAGAGAGGGGGTGCACAGGGAGAGAGGGGGTACATCAGGGATGACGGGGAGAGAGGGGGTACATCAGGGATGACGGGGAGAGAGGGGGTGCACAGGGAGAGATGGGGTACATCAGGGAGAGAGGGGGTACATCAGGGATGCACGGGGGAGGGAGGAATGAGGGATACATCATCGGTACGAAGTCATAGGAGCCAGGAGACGCGAGGAGTGACGCAGGTCATGGGTCAGAGGTGGTGGTGCCGCTGTGGTTCGGCGCAGTGCGCGGAGGGGATGAGTGAGTGGAGGGATGAGTGGGTGGAGGGATGAGTGAGTGGAGGGATGAGTGGAGGAATGAGTGGGTGGAGGAATGAGTGAGTGGAGGAATGAGTGAGTGAGGGATGAGTGGGTGGAGAGATGAGTGGGTGGAGGAGTGAGGGGAGGGATGAGTGGGTGGAGAGATGAGTGGGTGGAGAGATGAGTGGGTGGAGGGATGAGTGGGTGGAGGAATGAGTGAGTGGAGGAGTGAGTGGAGGAATGAGTGAGTGGAGGGATGAGTGGGTGGAGAGATAAGTGGGTGGAGGAGTGAGTGGAGGAATGAGTGGGTGGAGAGATGAGTGGGTGGAGGAGTGAGGGGAGGGATGAGTGGGTGGAGAGATGAGTGGGTGGAGGGATGAGTGGGTGGAGGAATGAGTGAGTGGAGGAGTGAGTGGAGGAATGAGTGAGTGGAAGGATGAGTGGGTGGAGGAATGAGTGAGTGGAGGAGTGAGTGGAGGAATGAGTGAGTGGAGGGATGAGTGGGTGGAGAGATAAGTGGGTGGAGGAGTGAGTGGAGGAATGAGTGAGTGGAGGGATGAGTGGGTGAATGGATGAGTGGAGGAATGAGTGAGTGGAGGAATGAGTGAGTGGAGGGATAAGTGGGTGGAGGGATGAGTGAGTGGAGGAGTGGAGGGATGAGTGGGTGGAGAAATGAGTGAGTGGAGGGATGAGTGGGTGGAGGGATGAGTGAGTGTAGGAGTGGAGGGATGAGTGGGTGGAGGGATGAGTGAGTGGAGGAGTGCACGGGGGGATGAGTGGTTGTCACGATGTCTCGTGTTGCCCCCTCTGCAGGGCAGCAGCACTGCGCTCCCTGACAGCGCGCGCATCATGGGGGACGCCCTGGCCTATGAGGCGGAGCTGAGCTCCATCATCAGAGAGGTGCGTGTGGTGGGTGTGTGGTGCGTGCCAATGGGGGTTTCGCCCGATGAATGTTCACGGCTCTCTCTGGAAGGAGGCGCTGTTGGGGGCTTGTGGCCAGGTCGGGTTGTCACTGGAGGGTGGCAGGGGCTCCACGCTCGGCGTGTGACCTGCGCGTGTTGCGTGGGTTGCAGTACCTGAACTTCATGGAGTACGAGGAGACGGTGAAGGCCCTGGATCGCGAGTGCAGCAGCAAGGGGAAGGCCGTGCCCAAGTCCGGTGGTGTCATGAAGGACTCGAACGTGCTGCTGGTGCAGGTAGCACCCTCCCCGGGTTAAATATTGGACTCCCAACGACGTGTCCACGGACAAAGAATGCGAATTGCAGACCAGTTCAGTTTAAATCTTAAACGTTTACGAACATTTACGTAAAATATAAATGTAGTTCGCGTGTAAGGTTCACGGGCACCGTGTTCTCCAAGCGGGGCCTTCCGGGATGGGGTGCGCATTGGGTATACTCTCCCAAGCTCTCCCCACGCCCTCCTGCGGAATCCCTCCCGCAGTAGAATGTTTATTTTATAGAGAGAAAGAGACGTTCATAGGCAGAGAGTTGAACTCGTGAAGATGCCCACAGCAGCGTGTGGCAAAAGTTTCCCAGAGCCCAACCTGGACAACCGCACTTGGACGACATTGAACCGGGCCAGCTGCTGCTTCTCCATCAGAGGGCAGCACAGCACAGTATGAATCTCCTTACAGATGTTGGTATACAAACTGCAGGAGCAGAGAAGTGAACGAGACATGTGCGGTGGGAAGGAGGTTGGCTCGGGAGGAAAAAATAGATCTGTCTAGGAGGTGTAGATGCCGCGTACGGATGCAAAGTTTAGTCTAAAACGCTGCATTATAAATGTAATGTATGTACTGGTGGGGTTGAAATGTAACATTGTAATCTTGGATTGCATGAAATAACTAGATTTTCATGTGGACGCTGTTGTTATCTGATGATCGCAATGGGGTTTAGGCATATACGGTGTTGCAGTTGTCTCTCTGGGAATTGCCTCGAGGTATTTTTTATGAGAAAGGCTTCATATAAGTTGTGCTCGTCGATCGCCAATCAAACGCCAACGACTGCCGTGACGCTCGTGCGTGGTGCAGGGGGAGCTGCTGTCAGCGTTCGATCAGGGCGAGCGCACCGAATTCTTCGTGTTGTGGGGGGAGAACATCCCCGGGACACTGTGCGATTCAGACCCCACGGCCCAGAAGCTGGAGTTCTACCTGCAGATTCACTTTGCCATCTACCCCATCCAGCACGCCGTGGGAAAGCCGGTAACTATCCTCGGAGACTCCACGCACACAGCGGCCACCCAAAGAGAGTACAAGCGACAAGATAAGTAAGCAGACAATACACCTCTTTCCCATAGCTGTTCTTCCATGTAAAAAAATCAGCGGCACACTGGGAATTCATGAAGACGCAATATGGTAAGAGATCGCAATGACTTGGGGAGGTCTTCATCCAATAGTAGCAAGACAATGGCTGATGATGATATGAAAATAAACTTGAAGTTATCTGCAAAACGAAGCTTTATTTGGATGTTGCAGAAGTTTACATGACTCTTAGAACGGGTAGTTAACTTTGTGCTTTCGAGTGACTTCATGGTGACTCACCGCGGTGTGTGTGCCGCTCACAGGACAGTGCAATGGTGGAAGTGAGCATGACGGAGTTTAAGACCTTCCTAGAGACGCGCGGCTCGGCCCTCAGCCAGACCACGGAGTTCCTGCCCTTCTATGCGCTGCCCTTTGTGCCCAAGCCCGCCGCTCACCCCTCCTTCCGCCAGCTCTTCTCGGTATGCGCTTCAGTCGGACCTTTTCTCTTGGCCGGGGAGGGTGGGGAACCTACGGAAATTTGGCCCGTGACTTGAGTTCAAATGGCCCATGACCACAAGAGGCCTACCACCTCCATACGCCCTGCGAATGATACTTATCCATCACTGTAAGCATCCTAGCCGCATGAAGACTCTTACATAATTGAGAATAATATATAATTTGTTACACACACAGTTTTTGTTCACTCTTGACAGAGTAAATGCGAAGGGAACTAGGGACAAGCAGGAAGGAAGCCAGAACCGGTGCCAACTATTGCCCAAGCTCTGTGGTCCTATAATGGGATGTTTAGCAACTCCGCTACTGAGTGTTGTAGACATGTGGGAGGAAACTGGGGTATCCAAAGAAAGCTGACTCAGGAAATAGGGCAATGCTAAATTCCTGAACAGGTGGAATACAGATGGAAATTAATCCACTGATGCCATCACACCCTGGCGAACGGTTACCTCGAAGCCCTTGGGTGGGAAGGGAGTTTCATGAACAGTGTGATGATCCACCAGGCCCCGCGGCCTCCACAGTCCTAGGTTAGAGGCCACGTGCGGCGTAGCCACCAGTGGGCTCCACGATTGGGACGTTTGGCCATTTGCATTGAGCTGTTGTTTTGCAGAACTCGTGGACCCCGGAGCTGAGGACGCAGCTCGAGAGGTTCCTGTCGCTCACGCTGAAGGCGAACAGCTTTCCTCGCCTTCTCACGCTGTTTGTATCCTTCAGCACTTACGGTTCATAATTACTATGCTTGACCTCCCCGGAACGCCTCAAGAATCTTTTTCAGGAGGGTCCAACGAAGTTTTTTCTTTGGCGGACGACAATTGTTATGTGTAGTGTGACAGGGTAGCAAAGCGGTAATGCGTGTGCCTTCCAGCAAGAGGAATCTGGATTTTATTTCTGAATTTGGTGCCTTTGCCTGTGGGCTTTGTTTATTTCCCCCACGTTCTGCACGGGTTTTCTCTGGGGTCTCGGGTTTTCTCCCATAGCTAATTTCACAATGTAATTAGTATTGGCCAAACATATAATGCTGAAAACCTTCAAATTACTCAGTTGGGATCACACGGAAGCAACACCGCCCACCTGCGAAAACTTGTCAGAACCCTCCTGAAAAAATATGTTGAGTGAGGCTTTCCTGGGTAAACAAGTACAATTCTTAAAAAAAAGCAATCTCTCCTAATCGAGTAGTCTACAAGTAATCTTTGTAATTTGGCACATTTAGACCATGACACTGGCACAGATGACCTAGTCTGCATGAAATGGCATTGCTGGATCTTTAACGTCCACTGTGAAGGAGATGGCGCTTAGCATTTCATGGTGAATACTCATTGCAGGAAGAGGCAACATGCACGAGCTGGATGGATTGTGGCATCGCAGGGCCGTGAGGGGTAATCTGGGGAAGCCTTCATACAGCAGTGGATATAACATGAATGATTTGATGATGGATGTGTGCCATACATGAGGGCTTGATGGTCCTTTACAAGGTGGTAACGTACAGAAGGAAGGTGGCCACGCAAGTAGAGGTAAGTGCACATTTTTCAGTAAAAAAATTCTCATTGCTTAAATTAAACAAATAGTATGCTGCTGTTTTGATTTAAGAAATGTGAAGTTAGCAAGTAAATTGCACTTCTATTTATATAGTTTCTGTAACATTCTCATTTGTGCTACACAGTTGGGCCAAAGGTTCTGAAAAAGAATTTCCTTTTAATTAAATAAAACATTTCACTTGGACAATCGGTTATAGTTACTGTGGCTGAGTGGCTGAGTGGTTGTGTCCGTGGGGCGAACAGACCTGCACGAGCGTCTGCACGAGTGCGAGCGGCGTGCCGTGGAGGCCGACCGGCGTGCCACGGGCTACACGCGGCGCTACGGCAAGCTGCAGGCCGACTACCACGGCCTCATCAGCGTGACTGCCGAGCTCGTGGACTCGCTCGAGGCCACCATTAGCGGGAAGATGGTGAGAGCGATGCCCACACGCAGTGATGCCCATTCAATCCCGCACCGGGGTGGCGCTTGCCTCCCATTTACAGCCCTGAGCCAGTGGTGGAAAGTCCACGTTCCTATGGTGGGTGCGAGTCCGCCATTTTATTGACCCCGCAGGGATGATGGGCTAAGTCAACCCCCAACCAGGATCTTAACTCACGGCCTTCTGATGGCGAGCTGCTCGCTCTACTCGCTGTCCTGCTGCACCACGTGGGAATTCACTCTTTTATGTGCGACCATTGGCTCAGGGCTGGAAACAAGGAGGTGAATGCCTCCTCAATGGTTAATCGAGTAGGAAATCACGTGACTATTCAGTGTCAACGTGTTGCTGACGGTGGCTGTGCTGTTTAATAGATGACTCAGCACAGTCCCTGCCTTTGTCTTGGCTGCTGTTGCCAGCAGATCACGGCGGAGTACCTGCAGAGCATCTGCACGCGCCTCTTCAGCAGCCAGCTGCGCCACAGTCTGGTGCACAGCGTGGACTTCACTCGCCCCGGCACGGTAACAACTCGCTACTCCGCGCTCCCGTGCCTCACCACCCACACAGCACGAGCCGTGTGGGTGGTGAGGCAGGAGCTGCTGTGTCTCTCACTTGGCTGGGTCGGGGCTCATGAGCTGTGCCACTGGTATTCTACTTGGTTACGGATGCTTGTTGGTACGATCTCCCTTTAATGTCACTGCCAAGCAGATGCATCTATGTCCAGCATGGGTCTGTATATATTTTACAAAACAATCAGAATTATTGTGGAGAATAGAGCAAAATAAATACAAATACAGTATGCCTCCTTCCAATATCTCTCCCTCTACGTAAAAAAATGTAGGATTTTGTGTGCATCCCATCAGCCACATGGTCTTCTGGGAGTGCATTATGTCATCAGCATTGATTCAACACAAGCAGACTTTAGAGCAGTCTTCACATTCAGTGTCCCATCAGCAGAGTCAGTCTCACTTCAACACTAAATGTTGAAACCGGTCAAGTGATAACTTGTGGTGAACCAATGCTGCTGAAAGTATCGCCCCCTATTGGAAAAACCTTGGCAGGACCTTCCTATAATCGTCTAGAGCAGGGGTCCCCAACCCCCGGGCTGCGGACGGTACCGGTCCGTGGCCTGTTAGGAACCGGGCCACACAGCAGCAGGAGGTGAGAGCGGTGAGTCCGCGCGTGGCCCGCCCCCATTGTTTTATTATTGACCACTTCCGTGCGCGCCTCTCTCCCGCACTGCGCACTCGTCTCAGTCACAGTGTTGGTAAGCCCACAAGCTCTAGCCCCGAGTAGCCACAATGAGTAAAGAACAAACGTCGCTGGAGAGCTTCTTTGTTAAGGGGGAAAGACCCAATGATGAACCCCCCCCCCCATCCGTGAAAAAATTGTCTTCCATGAAACCGGTCCCTGGTGCCAAAAAGGTTGGGGACCGCTGGTTTCGAGGGTCTTCTGGCTACACAGGTGTAATTATAATACTACTACTCCTGTAGGAGCTCCCCATACTACAAGTAATGATGTTTACGTGAGAATGAAACGTTATACCTCATGTGCGTGTGCATCGTCGGTCATGGGGCAGGGAGTGCAGCAGCGTCCATGGCTGCAGTCGGATTCCTGCTCAGAGCACACGAGTTCCTTCTCAGACTTCATTCATTTTAGCATTTTCCTATTTAACTTCTGCCTGCTTTTTACAGGAGTAAAAAACATAATTTCTTATTCTCTCAAATTCTCTTTCAAGTACGACGACTATTGGTACGCAGAACAGGTAAGTATGCGTGATGGGGATGTCTGTGAGCATGTCTCAATGAGCATGCTCCCGTGTATGACCCTGCTTGTTCTTCCTTCTGCCTCACAGCATTAACACCCTTTCCTTTCACTCATCCTTCTTTTCATGAGGTCTTGCTTTTTATAACATTGGGGCATGGGATATTCATTGTGCATTACTTAAAACATTTGTACAACATATTATGAGTTAGCTACTAATTTTTTTTATATAACCAACGTTACTGGTTCATGACGCATCTGTGGGCTAAGGTATTCTGACAATTCAGATCTTGCCAACGCTCTAACCCACTGAGCCCTGCACTGAGCCCTGCACCTGCCTAACCAGCCTCCCGCAATGCTGCCTTGCCCAGCCTTTGCATGTCTCACCGTTGGTGAAAACCTGCCGATTGCAAAGCCAGGCCTGCATTCACAAGTTACACCTATCACCAGAAAGAGAGTGGCATGGACCTAGGGAGCTGCCATGGTGGTTGTGTAATGGTGCGCACACTGCTGGACTTGCAATCCAGAGTTTCACGGGTTGATTCAATGTCCTGGCAGTTAAACTATGGTGTTAGTGTCTTAAATCCCCCAACTGCCTCTCCATCCAGCAACATTAATATGTACACCACAGTCTTTAGGTAGGTCGTGTGTGGTGGGGTCAAGTGTGGTTATGCTCATCTCTTCTAAGAGGTCTGGTCAGTGTAGAGGAGTAGCATTTAGTTTCATGTCAAACGAGGACCCCTATTTTACAGAGGGTCCTTACCCATAAACATCTGGCAAGTAACCAGCATTGGTTTAAGCAAGCATAACTGCTGATGAAACACTGAATGTTTTAACTGGTGCAGAGTTTGCAGCTTGTATTAAACCAATGGCCGGCACGCTCACCACAGGACACGTTCACGCACCCTCGCCCATCGCATTCCCCTCTCACGGTTCCCTCGCAGCGGGTGGTGCCAGTGCCGCAATGCGGATTTTTAATTCCCACTGAAATCATCATATGCAGGAATAGGCCTTTGTGAGTCAGCATTCCAACCCATGCTCCTGAACGTGAACATTACAGACAGCTGCATTGTTAGAGTAACCATCCCCAAACCACTCGGGTGCCTAGGTATCCTGTACCAGAGGCTGGAGCATAGTGACCTCATGGTTAAATTGACTCCATCAAGAAGCCAGCTCCTCATTCTCTTTGAAATATTTAATTCACAAGTTTTCAAATCAATCTTCAATCGCCACATTTGTGAGTTTACTTATTTGTCAAAGCCAGTTAATATTCTCCAACCAAATGGAACCCCAGATGATCTAATTTTGATCATTACATGGCCTAACCCAAAATCAATAAAAATCCGACGTAATTAAATGTTCACTAAAGAGTGACTCATTTATTAGAAATCTGTGGGATTGCTCGAATCCTGGCGTGTTGTTGTTAATGCACTCTCTGCTCAATGTGCTTTCTCTGTGTGTGTTCAGGCCTCCACAATCCTGAGAGCCTCTGTGGCCCCTATGTGAGTATTGTGCTCACTGATGTCCACTCACTGTCAATTCACAGGATACATCAATATTTAACAGTTTTTTATACGTATTAAATTGTTAAAATATGGTTTCAAGTTTTTATTAAATTAATAAACTTGTGTTAATTAAATATTTACGCAAATGCATTTTCTTTCTATAAATGTAATGTGTTGGCTTTGCTAATACGGGACTCTTTTTACAGTATTATTTAAAGAGGTCGGGTCATTGTACTAATATATGTGCTAGGGCTGTTGTATGAGCAATGTCGTGCGATCGTGGTGTGCGAGTGTGGCGAAGAGTGGCTGTGTCGCAGTTAGTGCGCTGAACTACAAACCCAGCGACCCGAGGTCGATTCCCGTTCATGGCGAACACCAGTGACGAATATCTGAACCGGTCCTGGGCCTCCCCTAGGTCGATTCAGCCTCAAATGAGTACCTGGTGCAGTGTTTAAACATCGCCACTGGGGAGACAAAAGCGACTGGGAATGGTGTTGGCCACCCACCCCCTCGTGTGCCGCTCTTCACAGGTGCTCACTAACAGCACTTGCCCCGACAGTCTGTTAAGGCTTTAAGGGTTATTTTTGTCTTTGTGCGGTGTGTCACGTTGAGCGACGTTGCCGCTGAACGTTGAGCGACGTTGCCGCTGAACGTTGAGCGACGTTGCCTTGCCCCTCTCACGCAGGCACCCCCGCGACATCCCTCTGCTGCCGTCGCTCGACTACGACAAGCTGAGGCACGATCTGCTCCACGGCACGGACCGCCTCAAGGCGCTGCTGCTGCAAGCTCTGCGCTGGGTCTGCCCCCACACTCACACTCACCCCGCATCACCCCTCATCACTGCACAGAGCAGTGATGAGGAACGTGTGCATCGCCGGCTCTGGGGAGAGGAGGGGTTGTGATTTAAAGAAAGGAGAGAGATTAATATTTGTTTTGGAGTTAGGGTGGTTACCTTTTCTACTGTAGACCAAACCGGGACATATTTCTCAATCAGCTCAGGTCTTTCAAAACTGCAGTTTATTGTACTGTGATAAAGTTTTATACAATATCGGTACCAGATCTCGGTTCAAATCAATTCCATCCACCTGACTACAGATGCCACATCCTGGGGACTGTCTGGGTCAATCCTCGGTCACACCCAGTAGGCGGCAACCCTTCAGGGCATTAAAGCTTGAAGGACGCTGCTTTGATTTTGCATTTCGGCTTAACGCTCATACACGCGGACAGTGGTGATGTTTGCGTACCAAAGAGTGCGATGTACGTTTCTTGCAGCGCTTGACAAAGTCCCAGCAGGGAGAGCAGAGGGACACGGTGCTGCAGGCCTCCATTGCCAACGACCTGCTGGGCTGTCACGCGCGCAGCCAATACAACGTGAGTGAGAGCTGACAGCTGGTGACACAGCAGTAGTAGGAGTAGTTCTCACGCTGCTTCCTGCCCACTCAGCGCCCTGTGTTGTTCGTGTCTGTGTGAAACCAGGTTTAACAGTAGCTTTGTGAGCTGCTCACAAACATGCATGCCATGTGACCACCACACTGCATGTACCGTGCTCTCAGTGTTGTCTAGACCACCAGCTCGACAGCTGAATGTGCGGCCGTGTTATGGTTTAGGTCACCAACTCGAGTAGAGTTGATTAATGTGGCCATCCCAACAGGTAGCAATGACACGGAGACAACTTTAGGCCGTTGATGTTTTCATTAGGACTCATCGGTATAGTAGTCATCAAGTTGATGGCCTAAACAATAATATGGCCACACGTTGATTTAACAGGCTTGGTTTGGTTTTATTTAACAGGCGGATGTGCTGGGTCTGCTGATGTCCAAGAGTGAGGTTGTGCGACAGTACACGGCCCGGCTCATCAATGCACTTGCATCCCTGGCTGACGGTAAGTGCAGGATGCAAATGAACATTGATTTATTTGAAGTGACATGTGAAAAGGTACAGATGTGATTCTATTCACCATGCCATCCTGCTTTACCAATTCCTATGCTGTCTCAAAAATTTTCAAAATGTGTAAATGATAAAAAAATGTTGGACTAATGGTGATGATGATTGGTGATGTTGGAGTGCCGGTGGTGGTACGCTATTTTTGTCAATGTGTTGCAGGTCGCACTTACTTGTCGCAGAGTCCCGCGGTGCTGCGAGTGCTGCAGGAGAGCCTTCGGGCAGAAGACCGCGATTCACTGACTCGTGAAAATGTGTTGGGCGCACTTCAAAAGCTCAGTCTCAAGTAAGCCATTATATCCCCGGTTTTATCCCGGTCATGCTACTGGTGTCATGTCGTGAGACCAAGCGGAGGGACAGATAAAGGACGGAGGCATTATTTTCTGGTCATTTATTTTGTTTGTCTGAAATCAGCCTCTAATCAACGCGCTCTCTGTCCTCTGCTTTGGACGTACCAGGCGGAGCCTGCAGACGGCCATGATCCAGGATGGGCTGGTGCTGTGGCTCATCTCTGAGCTCGGAGACACGGACGCCCTCTCCGATTATACGCTCGAATACTCCGTGGCTCTGCTCATGAATCTGTGCCTGCGCTCAGCCGGTACGCTGCTGCTGCTGCTGCTGCACTCAAGCACCCTTCTAGCCCTGCACACAGGACATTCAAGTCGTACACAAGCAGACGCTTGTGCCTGTGCAGTTGTGACAACCCAGTTTAGACATGGGTGCCCCATGGGTGCCCAATGTCAGCTCTGTGGCTCAAACTCCCTGCATCCTGCCTCACCTTGAGCAACACTCGCCTTAATTTCTCTGCGAAGTCCACTTTACTTTAAATCCTCGTCATGCAGCATTTTTACTTTTCTGCAGAAACAAAACCTCCTGTCTTGTATGAGGTACAAAATGTGGTTTTACTATTAGTCTCATGGTGTGTTACCCTGCATCGAGTTTCTCATCCCAGTGGGGACTGTCGCACCCATTGCCGTGCGGCACGTTGCGGGGCTGCCCACCCTGCCACGTGCGCTCGCTGTCGGCAGGGAAGAGGAAGTGTGCGGAGGACGCGCGCGGTGTCTTCAAGGTGCTCACCGACCTCCTGGGCCATGAGAACCAGGAGGTGGGTCCCCCGAACACTCGGCACTCAGGCCTTGCTGCAGCCATTGTCTCGGAGTATCCGTTGATAGAGATACCGTACGGCGAACTCGCTCTCGCAGCTCTCTACCTGATGCAGCTCAAAGCAGTTCGAGCAAAACCTCGTTGTACTTTGATGTTCCATTTTTCCATGAAAGGTCTTAAATCAGAATCAGAATATTTATCCTGGAACAATCCGATTAGCTATGAAGCTCTTTTTCACAGAAGTCCAATAGGGGCGGGTCAGCAAGTGACAGCAAGAAACAATACAACAAGAAGATAAGAGTGCAAGTTAGAGAAAATGAAAGCAAGTCACAAATAAATAAACCGTCGATGAGGAGCGATTTTCATCAGAATTTGAGTAAACGTGATATTCTTGTCGGGTGGTGGAGAGTTAAAAACAAGAAATTTGGCATAAAACTACCACGTGGCCTAACCTAAAAACAAACGTAGATGAATAGGATCTCTTACCGCCAACTGCTGAACATACTGCTTGAAAAGGGTTAAGAGACAAGTCAGAAAGCTTGTCCAACTGGCACATCATAGTGATTTTTGTAAAAGACTAAAACATCTGGAGATACGATTCATAATTGATGTGAGCGTTAAGCTACTTAATGATTTGACTAAATTTGTATTGAAAGACTTTACACCACCTGACACAGCCAAACAAATGTAATTGTCACGCAGTTAACGAGCGTTTAACAACGATCCAATTGCTGTCGGAAAGTCTTTCTGACAGCCCTGTTCTTCACCTGAGGACGGCTGCTTGCATTGTGGCCGAAACGTCGTGAGAATTTTATTTAATGTTTTATTTGTATTATTTTATTATTTCCCTTCTACTTGACTTTACCGAAAGAACCAAGAAGATGAATCCCTGCAGTCACGAAAGCTTTAAATCGAAAGCTCCAGTTGTTATTGTTTGCATCTCCCCTGGTGAGTTTAAGAACTATTCTCACAATCACATGTAGCTGTTGGCTATGACGAACTCGTACTTCAGGGTCTCTCACCACAAATGTGGCCAGATCAGTATGTGGCGTCACCCAATAAATCCATTACAGATTAGAGACGTTGGCTGTGAAAATGTGCATGTTCAATCAGGAGATACGATGCTACGAAATTGAATTACAATTTAACGCAACCGCGTGCAGTTGTACTTAAAGCTGAGTGATTGCCAAGTAAGTTTTGTGCTTTTAACATTGCTGGTTGACTTTCCTATGGGGATGGTGAGGCTGAGCGTGTGGTCATGGAATCGGGGGGCGTGTGTTCCAGATTCGTCCTTACGTGAACGGTGCCCTCTACAGCATCTTGGCCCTGTCCTCGATACGCGAGGAAGCCAAGGCCATGGTAAGGAGCGTCGTTGGTCAATAGGACGACCGAGTAAGGCCAGAGACATCACCCGTGCACATACAGAGGCCGAGGGCACGGTTTTGGTGGCTGATCAAATAAGAAAATAGCAGTTTCAGACAGTTGACACCTGTCCAGATGTGGCCTGCAGAGTCCAGGAATGGTATCTGTGTTCGTGTGGCAGGAATTAATTTGTACTCCGATCTGGTACCGGTATTGTGATGAACTTTATCAGAGTAGATTGCACAGTTTTGATTGTTCGAGGCTGACTGAGAAATATGTCCCAGATTAGTCTGCGGAAAAGTTGGCAACCCTAGGTAGAGAGGAAATGATTGGGCTGCTGTTGGTGTGGCAGTCACCTAACACGTACTCAACATAACAAAGTAGACAACACATGCATACGATTGCCAATGTAGGTGGGGGGAGTGCTGGCTTGGTCAGTTTGTGTGTCTGAGTCTGTGTCAGTGGACATGTACGCTCCAAGCCAGTAGCTTCATATTCGATGCAGTATCCCCTGATGTAGTGCTTCTGGCGTATGATGTACACCTCTCTGTGGACATGTTTATATCAGTGGTTGTCCATCGAGAGCTGCGTTGTGAATTACGCAGGATGCGAACCGTCGATGCTGCGCTATGGCTCTCTCCCTCAGGGCATGGAAGAGATCCTCAGCTGTTTCGTGAAGGAAGGCAACGTGGAGACAAACAGACAAATTGAGTTCATTATAAAGCAGCTCAACTCGGGTAAGCTCGCTCGAACGCGAACACATGTCCTACCCATTCAGGAAACGGTTTCGTTAGATTTAGAACACACATGCGTTTTGTCATTCATTCTTAACACCAGAATTGGCTGAAAAGTTTTATAATTGGACAACAGGAGTTGCCATTACTTGACAAAAATGTTGCCAAATTTCGTCTATTTTTTGTTGATTTGCCAATATTTCTACCAAAAGGTAAATTCTGAATGTGCTGTGGGGATGAGCACGATGCTAGGATCTCTGCATGCTTCACGAGTCATGCTGCTGTGTGCGGCTAGGGAAGTGAGCCAAGCTGCCTCCTCAATGGCAGCGCAGCAGCAGTTGCAGCATCTGTTGATGTGTTGCGCTTACCCTGCAGTGTTACTTCTCGCTTGCGACGTTTCGGATCCTGCTACAATCACAGCCTGCTGGACTTGACAAATCTCATGACCATTTTCTGGACTTAGACCCCTAGTTAGTTCACAGCAATGTGTGAGTTTCCGAAATGATGCACTACAGTTGTGTCCTGTATTTTACACAGCTGAGTGTTTTTACAGATTCTCCGGATGAAGGAGTGGAGTCCGATGATGAAGAACAAGAGGAGGAGGATGAGGTGACCCTCTCAGCAACGCACCCTTCTGCCCTGCCACTCATGAGCCATTCCACTAGCTTTGCCACCTGTTTCAGAATTGCCACTTGTGTTCGAGTGGCAGGAATTGATTTTAGACCTGGTGATATTGTGCTAAACTCTTATCACAGTTTAATGTATCGTTCTCTTAGACCCAAGCGTGACTGAGGTCGAAGAGAACTGTGCAACGAACCTGGCGACCAGTTTTATTCCTGCCCCCGACCCACAGACACGAACATTTGAATAATTTGTGGGCCTCCACTAGGTCCACTTAGTCTTAAATTAGTACCTCGTGGGTTGTGAAGCATCAGCACTGGGGAGACAAAGATGGCTGGCGTCGTGTTGGCCGCACCACCCTCTTGTGCGCCGCGCCGGCTTTCAAAGGTGCTAACAGCAACTGCCCCAACAGGCCGTGGAGACCTCACGGGGGGGTTTGTCTTTGTGCCATGATGTCCAGGAGGAGCAGGATGGCATGGAGCTGGACTTGGACAAAGCGGAGGTGCTGAGGCCGCAGCCAGGAGAGCTCACCGGGGAGAAGCTGCTGAGTGCGGAGTACCTCGGGGTACGTGCTGCGCCATCTCTTCTATCGCTGCGTCCTGACCAAGCCCACTTACTTGTCTTCACAGTCAATACAAAGATGTCTCTAATCTGCATTGACACCCTCATCCATGCTTTCCTCTTTCTGTTTCAGTGTAATTCCCAGAATGCACCTTTCTGCTTCTCTAATAATGAATAAATGTTCACACACATTTAGTAACTTTATACATTTTAAGTGATTATAAATTCAGACACATAAATTATTGTCTGAACATGGTGTGTCTGTGTCAGTGTGTGTAAAGGAGATGTGTGTTTGTGTATACAGAGGAAATGTGTGTCGCCTGTGTGTACAGATCATGACCAACACTCTACAGCATCGGCGCCGGAACCCGGCCATTGTGAGCCAGAGTATGAACGAGCCGCTCCAGAGACCCGTGACGCCCAGCACTCATCGCTCGGCACTCACCGTGTACGTGCTCACCACGTAATACCCTATTGCCATGCTGGCCTTTATAGGTGCTCGCTAAAAGTCCTTGCCCATTACAGTCTGTTAAGGCTCTATGGGGGATATTTGTCTGTGTGTCATCAGGCCGGTTAATTTGTGGGAGGGTGGCGGATCGGTAACCGCGCACTCTGACGTCAGCTCGCGCCCTCCCACCCGCTCGGGCAGCCGGCCCAGCTCCGCTTCTCCGGCCGGTAAGGCTCAAACTACAAATACATTCACACCTGGGTCACCTAACAAAGTGCGAATATGAACCTTCCTGGTGGAATAACGCCAACGTTTTGGCTGGTGCTGTGGAACCTTGTGCCAAACAGACACGGCTGTCATCAGGGGGTCCACTAGGCTAAAAAGGGAAAATAACTACAGCTGGGCATTAGAATGATTGAGATGAGATCTGATGTGCTGGGGCATTGACATGCTGGGGCATGTAAGCAAGTGCCATATAAATCCTTATTCCTTAACCTTTCCGCAACCTCTTTGCCCAGTCTTGTCCTGTACAGTCTTGAAATGGAGTTGTAAAATGCTTCATATATTTTAATGACATTTTATATGAACTGGCCAGGTGGGTTTGTCGTAGAGCGACATGCTCACAATGGGAAGGTTACTGGTTCAATTTCTGATTGGGGGTTTGACTCGGCCCATCATCCCTTCGGCATCGTATAATGAGTACCATTATTGTGGGGAAGTAGAGTGGATGCTTGCTGCCGCCATAGGAATGAGGGACTTCCACCACTGGCTCAGAGACTAAACAAGCAATGAGCAGCTCTCATTTGAGCAGGAAATCTCTTGGCCTTGACTTGCTTCTTGTGTTTGGATGCAGTATATTGAGCCAGACTGCGCTCTTTTTTCCACACAGACGGAGGGGCAGAAGCATCTCCGCGCTCGCTGAGAGAGCCTCCTTCCCACACCGCTGACTCGGAGGTGCAGGTCGCGTCAGGCAGGTCAGCTGTGCAGCCTCCTGCCTGCTGAGTGTTTGGTGCAGCTTGCTGGAGCACAGGCAACACAATGACTCACAGATGATACAGCATTCATTCCCCTTGGCAGGTTTCAATTTGTGGGTTTTAGATTTATCGATGTCAACCTAAATGCGTGTAATTACTTTCGATGTATATTGAGAACGAGGCGCTTGTCATCAATCCTAAATGTTGTTATCGTGTGCGCTACCACGACCACCACCACCACCGTGCGCTGTACACTCGGAGTCCTCCTGCCCTCTGGTGGTGACGCAGTCTCAGAGCGTCAAGTGGGTAAACGTGGCTCGCACTGGGGCCACTCGTGGCTGGGATGTGGCAGTTGAAAGAAACCCGATGAGAAATGTGGAGGCAGGGTTGGTGGATCATACAGAGATGGTGTGTGTAACACACGGGCAGCAGTAGCAGTTGGGTACCTTCCTTATTGGGCTGTCCAGTACGTCGGTTGGTAATATAACTTTAGTATCAGCAGTTTTGTCCGGGTGCTCTGGTTTCTTCCCATGTGCAATAATACTCAGTCCCAATATTGCGAGCAGAAATGCTCCTGAAAGGGTCTTGAGGCTCGGGGAGGTTTTCCTAGGTAAGGGTTAAATAAATAATACGTAACATCTTCATCTTGAATAGTTGTGAACAGAAAAAAAGTATTGTTTATTTATTTAATCAAATGCATGTGAAAAATGTACAATAGGTTGGTCATTTTTAGTGTTTATATTTTTAAAAATGTATGCGGTGTCATTTCCCACAGGGCCATTGTACGAGGCCCCAGGTAAAATTCCTCCTCTTGCTATCCCTTTTGGGCAGCCCTGGCAGTGATCGTGTTGCACGTGGCAATGCCGTGTTCTCATTTCCATATTTAAGGACAATATTCCTCTACCGCGACGCTGACATTCATTGCTGTGTGAACGCCTCGCCGCCTGTGCCGCCTGTGCGCCGGGCAGCGTGCGAGACGTGAAGGTGGCGTTCGGGAGCCGCCCGCGCATCCCTCGCACGCCCGAGTCGTCGGTCGCCCAGGCGCTCCGCCTCAAAACCCCGCCCCCCAGCCTCGCTCCGCGCTTCTCCCGGGCCGGACCCCAGCAGGGCCGGCCCAGCTCCGGCGGCGGCAGCAGCAGCAGCAGCAAGCACGGTGAGTAGAGGCGGCGTGTGGCTCGTTGTGAATCTGGGCGGCCACTCGCAGCAGGGTGGCGCGCAGTGGAAGCGCTTGTCCCTCGGTAAGAAGGGCCTGTGTTTAATTCCTGACTCGTGCGCCTTGTGAAGTTTGTATGTTCTCGTGTTCTGTATGGATTTCCTCGGGGTTCACCGGTTTATTCCTTAGCTAAAAAATAACAATGAAGCTGGAATTGGCCAAACGTCCCATTGCTGAAAAATTACCTGCAAACTTAGTTGAGTTTTCAATTAGCAACTTTACCCCTTTCTGTGGAAACTTGCCAGGAACCCTCCTGAAAGGCTTGAGAGTAACCAAGAGTAATAAAAATTGATTAAACTGGGTTCTAAAGTGTTGTGAGTGAATGATCAGCCTGGCAAACTGATGTATAAAAATAATCGTGGTATGGTGTTTTCACTTAATTTGGCTAAAGTTTGATTCTTAGAAATCAAAAAATCTATTGGACTGCCACGCAACAGCAGCATGCCTCTCGTACGACAACTTCTTGTGTGGCCGGGCCCGGCACTCCGCGTGTGCTCTCCGCGCCAAGTGCCGTGTCACGTCCTTGTGCCGGAGCGGTGCGCTCAGTCTCTTGCTCACGTGTCATCTTCACTGGGATTTTGAAATGTTTCAATGCGTTTTATCGTTTGTATTGTCCACAGGCAGCTGGTCATCCAATAAATAAGGAGTTTAGAAACAAGTCAAGACCTCGGGCTTCTGTGTCCCTGCACCTAAACCCCCAGTTATTCCAGGGCTACCTCACCCAGCGCACCGACAGCAGACGCTCTCGTGCGGGTTTAACTTTCCAAATTCGATACTCAACACTCATGTTCCACACATTGAATCACGTGTGTGTGTAAGAATCAACGCTTTTTCTGTTCTGTAAATAGTTTGGTGTTACGTCTTGTAACAGTTCATGGAATCTCAGGTGGGAGTTAATCATTACACCCTATTTCTGTACACATCCTTCATGTAGAGACATCTCTAAATACCTGAGTATACCCTGTATGACACTAACAATGCAGGTACGATTCTCAATTGATTACCCCATGTAAATAATCTGGCCAAATTTGTGAAACCCTCCACCACCTGACAGTCAAATTAAATTGCAACGTGTGCTAGTGTCTTAATACGCCGATTGTTTTGACTCGCCGGTGAGCTGAAGAATAATTCTCAACCAAATGTAGCGATGAGAGATGAGGTTTTGCTTGAAACTGCGTCAAGCATGTTCAGGATGGAATCCGCCAAGTCAGAATAACCATGCCACCGGACCCGGATTCTTAAATATGTGTCGTGACATCACAGGAACAACCAATCAGATTGAAACACGATGCTATCTACAGGTGTGTTGCTGTAATCAGAGGGAGGCAATGAAGTGTGTTTGAGCTCAACTAAACTGCTGCAAGAGAAGGAAGCTGTGACTTCCATCTGCCCGAGTGCGACTTGGTCTGTCCTTTGCACTCTTTTGTTTCGTGATTCCCAAGTGCTGTATTGTTATACGTTTGATATCTAAAAAATATATTTATTTTTGGTTGCTGCAATAAAAGTTGACACGATTACATTGAGAACTCTAATGTAGATAAGCAAGTTTATGGTTAATCCAAAAGCTTACTGCAATGGGGACAGGTGATAGGTGAAGAGGTGGGGCCCCGAGTGGGTGGGAGGTGAGTGGTGACCCAGGCGTGGTCTCACCAGACACGCATCCTATCTTGACGTGGCCAAATTCTTGATTGGTTCCAACTTCCTCATGCATTGTGGTCACCTTGATCAATCCACTGCTGGATGAAGCATTCCCAAGCTGTCGTCACCACTCTTGATAGTTGCTGGGCCTTCCCAGGAATAGCCCAGGGGCTGTGCAGGCCCCTCGTGGGCCTACTCCACTCCCCCTACCTGTCGTGGCTTGAGGGGAACATTGTTAATTTTTTTAAATTCACGTTTAATGGACCGGCTGGTTAACTACAGCGGTAGAGTGAACCGCTCACAATAAATATATTTCCTGCACGGTTTTCTGTATGAAGATAGATCAAGTTTATTTTTGAACAATATATTTTCCAATGAAACACAAAAGAACCTCATTTACACCCATTCAAGCCTTATTCGAGCATCCGTATTCTTAAATTATGCACTTTAAAATACCCACCAACCAGTTTTATACTACACATCTCAATTTTTTTTACAATTTTACAAAACACGTGTTCGCAACCCATCATTGTTCTCGGTCGTACAACAGAGGCTGCATGATTATAGCAAGTCACCAGCAGCACGACACACCAGTGCTTCGCACAACCACTGCTGACCCACTGTGACTTACAGTTGGGATGGTCACATGGCAGAAGCCCTCTGCACAGGAGACTTTTTAAATGTAAACAATATTTAGCACATTGAATGCACTCATATAGATTGATAGTAATTGTTTTATGGAAACTCTACATTCGTAATGCAGCCGTGTGGCTCAACAGGAGAGGGGGCTCACGATCAAAAGGTTTGGAGTTCAAATCCTGATTTGGGGGTTTTGGCCCATCATCATGCTGGGGTCAAAATAAAACCACTGATTAAGTCATCAGTGGTTGTAATATGCATGGACTCGCCCCCGTCATAGGAAAGTACCTCTGGCTCGGGGCTCTAAATTGGAGATGCATACCGTCCCAATGCTCATTTGAGCACGGAATCACTTTTACGTTCATACAGGGCGTTGTCTGCCATGGGATGAGTAACGTTGAGCATCTGGTGTATGGTACTGCGGCATGAGATCACACAAGACCTCTCATCTCAATTACACATGCACTGAAACACAGAATTTAGATCGGGCCCACGATTCAACACCAACCCCTTTAAATGTAGCAAGGTTCCAAAGTAGCGTGTGTATAAAACTAATGTAAGGCACACTTCACAGGCCATGCCCAGCCACACAAGACCCTCTGTCCATCTCACCCACACAGGGTGAGCATCAGCCCAACACATCAGCACAGACTGGGTATCCATCAGCCCGTAACGTTCACACAGGCAGAGGGGCTGACAGGGGAATGCACCTTTAAACCACTGCCACTGTAAACACATTCCTGTTATGGCAATTCATGACAAAACCAGTGCACTAAGGCTATTAAACTGTTGGAAAGATAATTCGCAATGATTTCCATTGTTCCTGTATTAGCAGGCGTAAGTAGCACACGAGCCAGGGTGCCCAAACACTGAAATGAGCTCGGTTCACCAAAACTGAAGATATCCGAAACCTTTCCTGAGCAGGTGTGAGTGACACAGGGGTAATCTGAACTTGCACTCTGGTTGTAACTTCCACTACGTAGAGCATTAATATCGCACTCCTGGCTCAGCGCCGCAGAGAACAGGAGTTCACCCCCCCCACCACCACGCTCGCTGGGGTCAGCGCGGCGATGCGACCCCGGCTGCCCGCTGTGGCGGAATCTCCCCTCGGACCCCTCGGCGTCGCCTCGTGTCACCGCTCCCACAGCTACCACAGCTACAGCACGTGGTCACGGATAACAGCTGGAGCGTTGCCCGCACACGGATATGAGAATTTTTGTTTTTACCAAACGCTGTGGGAAGACTCGGAAGCCAGTGCAATAAATGTGTAGAATCCAATCACCACTGGCTGGATGGAGGACACAGCTGGAAGCCGATTTACACTGCAATGTGCATTTACTGCATTAGTTCATGGATTAGAAACACGTGTGACATGGGCTTCACGACATATTCCTTCACAACACACCATGGGTTAAACACACGCACAGGGACAATGTCCAGTGGGCGAACCGCGCCGGTATTTTCTGGTAGGCCACACTTCTCACAATGCCCTGACGATGCTGGGAGAACAACACACGCACACTTTGTGTCAATAACACGTATGACCTAACAATGTTTACACATACTGGTGCATGACCACGATTGTATAAAGCATCCGAACATTGATATCACTGTGGCATGAACAAGAAAACTGCGAACCCACTTCCGATAGACTGCATTCACTTCACATCTCAACGTTTCTTCTTCTCGAACCCAAGTCCGTGGTCTCAACCACGGTCCCCATTGTTCGCATCTTGTGATTTACTCTCGAATTATCGTTAATTCTGCCACATCAACTCTGGCGGTAACTTTGTGCCCATATTCTTGCGACGTCACAGCTGTAACCTCCGCTTGACACGGCTGTGCGACTCGTAGGCGCTTTAGGGTTTCGCCGCGAGCCACCGGGTTGCCCGGCCGAGGTGCGGGGAGGAAGGTCGCTATTGCACAAACGCACAGCCAGCTCCGCAGCTGACAAGCACCATTCTCCATCGCACTGATCACGTGCAAGCAACACATTTTTTGGCTAAGCTGACTTAGGAGAGGCCCAGACTTGTATATCTTAGACACGAGGAGCCCACAAAAATTCGTCACTATTGCATGGAGATTGGTGAACTGGCTTTGTAATGCCAATTATTGTGAACTTTTCTTTTACAAGTTGTGCAAGTTATCACACTTTGGATTTGGGGACGTCATCAGAACACAATGGCATACTCTTGCTAAACTATGATCTCACGTGGTCTTCAACATCCTCTTTACAGCAGATACATTGCACTTTGGTAATTCCCGGCATGGCTCGGTGTGCAGCTGTGAACGGAACATGTGGTCGGTGCGGACTGGGTCCTGGGTCTGGCCAAACGAGGCTCTCACTCTGCGTGTGCGTGCGTGTCGGTGCGTGCGTGTCAGTGCGTGTGTTTGTGGGAAGCGGTGCGCTCCGAACTCGGTCTCAAACGAGTACCTGGTGCGTTGGGTAAACATCGCCACTCGGGAGAAAAGGCTGATGGGTGTAGTGCTGGCCACCCTCCCCCTCGTGTGCCATGCTGGCCTGCATAGAGCTCACTCTGTTTATTTATTGAACTTCTTTCGCACCACATGGAGCCAACTGTGTTAATTGGAGGTGCAGGAGAAGGACAACAAACTAAACACAAAAAGCAGTTCTAAAGAAATTATTTTCAATCAAGATTTGAAAGTGGATAGCTCCAGTGGCTTCCTAATATCGGAAGGAAGAGCGTTCCATACGGCCGCAGAAGTGCATCTGAAAGCGCCACGCGATGCAGTGACCGTCTTTGTTCGATGGCGAGCCAAAAGCCGCTGCGAGGATGACCGGAGTCCGCGTGATGGTTTATGCTCCTTGACATGAACAGCACTTGCCCCCAGAGTTTGTTAAAGGCTATATGGGGGATCTTTGTCTTTGTACGTCTGTAGAGGTGCAGGGGCATGAAATTATAGTATCGCTCATGATTACACATACAAACACACAAGTACACAGGATGTATGCCAACTCTTGGAATTGAGAATATGTTGGGAATGGGATATTAAACACAATGAATGATTTTCAATAATAAAAATATAGTTTTACAGAACGATGCTGTGTTAAGATTTGGCTGCGAGATACTCCGGCTATTACAGTGGCGCGACATCTCAATGACCCCGGTCACCAAAAGTTTTGAACGCGAATCGTTTATAAATACACATGCACGCATACACGCACGCGTACACGCACACGCATGCACACGCATGCACACGCACGCACACGCACGCACGCACACGCACGCACGTACACGCACGCACACACAAATGTACACGACGAATACCAGCACCGCTCAGCCACCTACACTGCTTCACCACCTACACTGCTTCACCACCTGATGGGCCGACGTCAGCAACATTGGGGCGCCACAGAACGATCAGCCGGCACGGCGCGGCGGTCGCCGATCACAAGGTCGGCTCTGGGCTGGGGACCGCGTGGCTCGGCAGGAGGAGCCATCGGGCGCACGTCGCCACGTCACGATGGACCGTCCCGCGAGGCCACGGCGCGACCCCGTGCCCTGCCGCCGGGAGAGACGTTCGCCTCACCGAGGCCTCCGCGAGCGCGAGGAGGAGGCAGCGGCGTCGTCAGATCTTCATGGGGACAGGCAGCCCCTTGGGCTCATACCCGTAGAGAAAGGTTGCCAGGATGACGAGCGTGGCTCCCACAAAAAACACGCTGCAAAGACACGCGCGCGTGGATACACACAGCGTCTAATTCCATTCCCAACTTGGAAGCCTTTCTGCGTGGAGTTTGTATGCTCTCCCCCAATTCTTCATTAGTTTCCTCCGGGATCTCTAGTTTCCTCCCACAGCTACAAAAACAGTGTAAATGGTACTGGCCAAACATCCCAATGTTAAAAAAATACCAACATACGACTCAATTGGGATGACTCGGTGAGGCTTACCTGGGTCAACATAATTACACCACACAGGAATATATACACACACACATATAAACACAAACACAACAATATAAACTTACAAAAAACAAAGCTCCACCATATAGTCTTAACAGACTGTTGGGGAAATTGCTGTTAGCACACACCCATGAAGACCCGGCAATGCGCACGAGGGGGTGAGTAGCCAGCACCACCCCTGGCCGCCTTTGTCTCCCTAGTGGTGATGTTTATACATTGCACCAGGTACTCATCTGAGGCCGAGTCTACCTACGGGAGGCCCAGGACTGGTTGAGATAATCGTGACTGGTATTGGCCGTGAGTGGCAATCAAACTCGAGTCATCGGGATCACAGCACAATGTGCTAATGGCAACCCTACTGCTCTCCACTCACAATCACAGACCGATGGGCACATGCAGCACCCAGAGTGTACCGCGCACAAAGCCACACGCAGATGGGCCTGCTCGCCGCTGTGACGCAGCCAGCATCAGCACCTGGTCGGAATGAAGTCCTGCAGCCACATGTAGGAGATGAAGGAGGACAGGATGATGGAGAAGGACGCAGCAAAGCCCTTGAGGATGTTGTCGGCGTACTTGATGACGGCCGCCACCACGAGCCCTCCCACGGCCTGGGAGCACAGCGACACGGCGCTTGTTAGCACAGACCCAGCGGCGGCGATGATAATGACGATGGGTGAAACGTGAGCTGGTGAACATTGTCCAAACTACAATGAATACTGCACGGGCAACCTGGAGTCTCCAGTAGGAGGGATGCTGCGCTCTGTCCACCAGGCAGCACAGCAGCAGTTCTGTCTTCTGTAAAACCAAATTGCTGGTGACTTCATGAGTACAGAGACTCTGGATCACAATAGTCCATGAACATGTGCACATATTTTAGCTGCTGCTGTGCTTCTTTTGCTGCTGCACTCACAGGAAGCTGTTTACCAACCAATGTGACTTGGAACGCTGTCACATGGGAGTGAAGAAGACCAATGGAATGTCGTTCATAACCGATACAAAGTAAAATCCTCTACTTAAAAACAGTTCCTACTTTATAACATTGTAAAATACAGGTTTCTTTCTGAATGGAATGTGGCTCTAGAGTGTCGCTAGAGTATATGTAAGCAACTGGTGCGTTGAAACGCGGAACTTGACACTGTTGACCCTGACCCTGGGCACACGGATCTGCGCACTCGCCGGCTCCTCCGCCAAATGCTGACGCACGTGAAACACGCCGCCGCGCTTGCGCAGCGGCGCAAAAGGGCAAACACTCAGCACGAGGCTGGGCTTCGATCGCTGAGCAAACTGTCGGAAAATCTTGCAGTAGCCGGGGACGAGAGCCTCGGGCTAGAGACCCCAGCTGCCACGCAACCTTGTCGAGGGAGGAAACCTACCGGCTCAGCAAGTCTCTCGCCGCAGGTCGCCACGTGTCTCCCCACCCAGAACACTGGGCCGGCACATTCACTCGCACAGTCGTCACGTGAGATCGGCTCTGTCGCTTAATTAGCATTGATGGAATTAGGGTCAAGTTGATTCAAGATCCAGCACTAACTAATTCACTCCAGTCAAATCTTGACTTTTTTCCTGATGACGACCGCTTGTGTTGCGATCGAAACGTCGTAGTTTTTTGTTATTTTCTTTGAACCTATCTAAGTGACTTTACCGAAAGACCCAAAGAATTTCACTCCAGTCACTTGCTCATTAGCAGTCAGTCACATTTGTATCACTATTTATATTGCTACTACCATGGTTACCGTTGGTGTGAACTTAGCTCAGCGATTCCCCCACCAATGTTGAGGACTTGGTCTACCAGACTAATGGTTTTGTCTCATTCATACGATGTTCAACCACCACCGTAATAAGAAGTGTGGCAGAGCCTGCACTTTGAGCAATGAATTACAATTAAAACATTTTAAATTTACAATTAAGTGTGATTGGGTGGTTCTTATAGTTGAATTCTACAACGGTGGTTTATCAAGTCGCTGGTTTAAGTTAAAGTCTTAATGAGAATGCTGCTTTAAGAAGAAGTGACATCTTCATTCGCTGGTTTACAAGATCAGTGTTTTATATTTAAGCTATCAAAGATCTATTAGTTTAGGTAAAAATGACCAAAAGTTCGCCGGTTCCTGAGGGGGTTGACGGCAGCAATGAACTTGGAGGGTCAAAGGGGGTAAGGGGGTTGTCGTGAAACCACGGGAACGAGAGATTATTGAAGCTGGGAAAGGTATATCATATATGCCCTATGCCTGGATGGATGCGAGTCCTCAGTGAAACATACTTGTGTACCCTTCAGGAAATCGAGCTTAGCAGTTGTATGCCAAGAATGATAAAAGGAGTACCTTAGGCTAGGGATAAGCTTATGCAACGAGTTGTAATGGTATTTGGAGGAGTAGCTACTTATGTTAGTATATATACCTATGTTATTATATATACCTATACCTATGTTATTATATATATATATACCTATGCCATAGAGGCATAGGTGAGAGGAAGGTGGAAGAAGTGGGTTGAGGTGCTCTAGTATAAAAGTGACATTTTTTTAGAGCATATGTTAAGTTTAGTTTTATGTTTTTTTATAATGTTTTTATTGGGGGTAGCTGTGGTCGTTTTGAGCCCCTCTCCCTATTTTTCTGCTTTAGGCTTGGTGTTTTTTGCTGTTTCTGGGTGTTTTGTTGTTTGGTACCATGGGGGGACATTTTTATCATTAGTTTTAGTGCTGTTATATCTGGGGGGCATGATAGTAGTTTTTGTATATTCGGCAGCTTTGGCTGCTGACCCTTACTCTGAGGTTCTTGGGGGTCGGTTGTTTCGTTTTTGTGTAATTTGTGTGCTGTGTATTTGTTTCGCTGGGTACATTTACTTCAATAATTTTTTTAAAATACGTCAGTAGCTTGTGACGGGGCGGACTATGTTGGGGGGATTTTTGGGGCTGAGTGGTTAGGGGTTACAACTTTTTATGAGGTTGGGTTTATTCTTGTTAGCTGGGTGGGCTCTGTTAGTTTGTTTATTTTCTGTTCTAGTGGTTGTTCGAGGGGTGGATCGTGGGGCCATGCGAGCTGTGAGACTAAGGGTAATTAAAGCTAGGGCAAAGACTATCAAGGGTAAAGTGGCAGAGTTTAAGTGGCGGGCCTCTGTTAATATTGTTGAGGGCTTTAACTGGTTATTGGTTAGGCCTGTTGGTCCGATTTTTTCAAGTCATGCTAGGTCTGTGGTTTGTGTCATTAATTGTTGGCTTCATGTTAGATACAAGCGTGATAGTAGATGGTGAATAATGTGGGGGTAGAATGCTAGCTGGGTAAAAAAGGAGAATACAGTTTGGTCAACTTTTTTATTAGTTAGCTCAATAGAAATAACTAAACTAATGATAAATATAATCAGAGCAATGGTTTTGATATAAGACGGTATTGTAAAAATTTGAAGCTTTATTGGCGGAAGGGTGCTTGTAAGGAGTAATCCTGAAATTATACTACCCCAAGCTAGACGCTTCAGGGTTTTTTTTTTATAAAGTTGTTTTTGTGTGTCGGGGTTAAGGCGAAGTATCGTGGCGTGCCAGAGGCCGATGTGATAATTAGACGTGAACTGTAGGCGGTTGTTAATGTATCGGCTAGGAGGGTGACTATTACGGCTCGGTCATTAGTGTAGGAGGTGTTTAGGGCCTCTAGAATTAGATCTTTAGTGAAGAAGCCGGCTAGGAATGGCAGGTCCATAAGTGCTGCGGATCCAATGGTTATACAGGATGTTGTTAGAGGAAGATTGTTGTTTAAACGGCTGAATTTTCGAATATCCTGTTCATTATTACATCAACTCACTCACCCAGTAGCCCACCTACTCACTCATTCACTCACCCAATCACCCAGCCGCCCAATCACCCACTCACCACACTGCAGATCGCAACACTTTTCTTTCTGCTTCATTCCTCGCACTGCTAGCCTCCGGAACTCCCTTCCATCTTTTTTCCCCGAACTCTTTTAATGACCTTGCTCAATTCAAGAAACGTGTTATACTCTTATCTTTAACAACTGTGATAGTGAGCTGGCTGTTACTGGGCAGTTGACGTTTTGGGCATTTGGGAATGCGCACAGCAAATGTGTTTTTATAGCTGAATCAATCCGCAAGGATACGTCTGAATAGTTCATTGGTAAGTCCTGCAAAGCAGTGCACCCCGCAAATTAGGGAACGTCCTGCACAAGGAGAGATCACAAAACTACTTTTGAGATTCCTTGAAGATATTGCAAACGTAGTTCTGTGATATCTCCTTCCACAGGCTGATCTAATACTGGTGATGCCCTGCTCACTGCGAGAGTTCTGAAAGCGTTCTTCATCTCGTGGCATGACGCCGAGAGTAAAATTGAAATAAAACAGGAGACACAGCAGTGCGGGAGGTCGCAGACTTGCCTGCAGGATGACCACGACCCACGTGATGCTGTTGTATCCCTGCAGGAAGCCTTGCTGCCACACCTTGTCCCCATCGTACACTATTACGCCAATCAGCCCAAACAGGGTCCCAAACAGCCCTGCACGACACACATAAGACACAAGCATGACGCACACAGAAAACACATGACACACACGCTACGTATGACACACGAAACGTCGCTGCCTGCATTATTCTACTGTTAAATATGACCATCGGTGCCAGCAGTGGCAGGGAGACGCGGCAGGGTGACGGTGCTCACCCAGCTGGATGTTGCGCACCCACACGGACTGGCGAGAGCCCTTGAGGATCTTCTCAAAGTAGACGCCAGCGAAGCCGCTGGAGACGCACGCAACGAGCACCGCGACGAGCCCCACGACCTGCGAACCCACGGACAGCGACTGGTGGCCGCTTGGAGCCGCATCGCTCGGCCACTGCAAAGAGAGAGAAACTTCTCACTCTCATCTCGAGACAGCTCCTTGCCGTTATCTCCCACACTGAAGACAAAGACCCCCCCCTTGTGTGTAGCCAACGCAGGCTGTTGGGGTAAGTGCTGTTCGCGAGCACCTATGAGTACCGGCACAACAAGTGAGGGGGTGGTGCAGCCACAACCATGTCTGGCCGCCTTTTTCTCCCCAGTGCCGATGTTTACACACTGCATCAGGTATTAATTTAAGGCTGAGTCAACCTAGGAGAGGTCCAGGACGAGTTCAGATGTGTCACTGATGTTGGCCATGAGTTGGTCACCGGATGTGTAGTAGTGTGCTAACCGCTGTGCCACCCTACCACGCACCTCTCACCTGCCACACACCACAAACACACACAAGACCTTACTCAACATCAAACATGCAAGCGTTCAATGCGGTGTTTCTTCTTCAGTTTTTGTGGAATTGCCAGCGGTTCCATACAGATGAGCTCAGTTGGTTGCTCAAGCAATGTGCTGCGAGCGGTACCTGGACCAGCGCCACCCCCACCACGAGGATGAGCAGGGACAGCCACTTGTGGCCGCTCAGCTGCCGGTTGAGCATGAACACGGAGAAGAGCGCTGTGGTGAGGATCTTCAGCTGGTACGTCACCTGCTCGCCACGCGCAAGGCGGTACTCACAAGACGTGCCAACATCCCACCACCACACGGCGCGCGCAGCAGCACCCCTTCCCGCTGGTGTCAGCCGCTCTGCGGTAGTGTGTTCGTCACTTGTTGCAGAGGTTGGCGGTTCGAATCTGCGGGCCGCCCTGGTTATTACCGTGAGTGCATCAAACACCTTGCAGTCCACTTCACAGTGGAGATTAAAGATCCCCCGACGTCGTACGAAACGAGAAGGCCATCGTGTGCCGGGTGTCATGGCCCAAATTAGAAAAATTACTGATTTGAGGTTACACGAAGTAACATTGCCCCCGAATGGCAAACTCCATCCATCTGTGAAACACAGCGCCTTCACGATGGCCCTGCGCTACAACAATGGCGCGAAAATCGAATCTACTAAATGATTCGAACTATTAATATTACTATTCAACGAGCGCCGCTCACGCCGGCGTCACCATCCATCGCCGTGCGAACGCACCGAGCGCGAGACCGTGGGGCCTGAGGGGGGCCTGCTGAGAGGGGCCTGAGGGGGGGGCCTGAGGGGGACCTCTTGAGGGGGGGACATGAGGGGGGGCCTGAGGGGCACCTGGTAGGTGGCGGCGTCCAGGTTGGAGAGCGCCACGTACAGGAGGTTGTTCTGCAGTGTGTAGATGCCGGATGGCACGGCCAGCTTGAGCGTCTCCATGGGCTTCCCGATGATCTCCTCCCGCAGCACCAACAAGGCCGTGCGCCCGCTGCTGCCTGCACAGCGCAGCCACGTGACGTCAGCACCGCAGTGCACGCACACCGTGTTGTGCCGTGTCCGCGCCGTGTATGCAGTGTACAGCGACCACTGTATCTAGAATCTGCACAAAGTGTCCACACTAACCAGGCTCAAACATTATTAGTTTCTAAGAACTGTTGTGATCTGTCAGATTAAGGGTGAAGCATGCCCGGGCTACAGCTCTGAATCTCGGAACTCACATTCAATAATGACTCTGGAAAGAAAACACACAGGTTAGTTACACAACACATGAACATGAAAATGCTGCCAACCATGCCCATCCACCCACAATTAACACAGATGCCACTTAGTGGAGACACAGCCCTGGCAGTTCCCGTGATACACAAGCTCTCTTGGCAACACCGACTCATTCTGTTTGCAGCACTCATCTCGTGTCGGACACAAAGGGCTTCTCTCTCCTGCTCTGCTCCCCACCCGCCCTGCTCCCGTTCTCCCAGCAGGGCCACTGCTGGCCTCGTCGCCTGCAGCACGAGCGGCGATCTTAACGGCAGCAGCAGCAGCAGCCACTAGTTCTGGAGGCTCGGCTCAAGGGGACTCGCTCACCGGGAACGGGACTCGGAACATACGCTTGCTTGGAATACGGCAGAATATAAATCGGACGTCGGACAGGTATATGGCTGTCCGTGAACACGGGCGAAGAGCCGAGCCAGCTGACCGGGCATCAGGCTTAGCGCAGCAGTCACTTCGGCGGCGACAAGGACGGCCGTGCAGGCGAGGACCCCACCGTGCTCGTAGCCGATGAGGAGGACGCAGGTGGCTATCTTGAGCAGCTCCGCGAGCACGACGGCCGTGGAGGCGAGGTAGCGCGGCCCGTCGACCGGCAGCGTGCGCGAGTAGCGCATGACGAGCACCAGCCCCGTCGTCTGCAGCACCAGCACCCCCAGCGACAGGTGCTTCAGGCTCACCATCGCCTCCCCTCTCTCCGGCTGCTGGTACGGCGACACGGCACAGCGGCAATCGGCCGTAAGCACGCGGACGACAACGGCAGCTGCCATTCGCCACGAGGTGGCTGTGATGTCACCAGAGTGCCAGGCTAGGTGCACTTTGAGGCGATCACGTGAAGTGTCAAAAGCTCGCTGGCAGGAAAAGGTCACGAGACATACCCACATGGTACTAGTGGTCTGGGACTTATGACCGACAGATGCACCACATCCATACACACGTGTGCACTTTTTACTACTTTATTTAAAAGTGAACGTTGAATGTATGTTGAACTTCTTTGCACCATATGTAGCCAACCATGCTAATCGGATGTGGACGTTGGTGGTGCGTGTATGTGAACAGATTTAACTTTATTGGCAGTGGGTAAAGTTGACGAAAATTTTAGCACTACGACTACTTGAACATAAAAGTAACAGCTAAATTTGTATTACTTTATTGATTCTGCACAAACAACTTTCTTGTCTGCAGCACCACTTTTAGCATTACATGACTAAATTCCGTAACTTTATTGAAACAGTGTAGTGTTAGAAACTTTGGCACCAGACAGCCACTTCCAGCATGATCGTCTTTTCCGTATGATGCACCTTTTCCCCAGCGTCCATTTGATATTTGTTAATGCCAAATTTACGCCCTTGTTCACGCTTTCCCAAGATGTAGCTTTACCAGAAAATTTGTTAGTGTCATAGAACCCCCATGACGGACACAGATCAGTTAAGCCTTCATCCAGCAGTGGATTGACAAAATGAATGAGGGCGAATCGTCGGATATTCAGATTTCACCCAATACCGTACAGAATAAGCTGTGTACTTGTAAACAGTCAAAACGCAAGAGAATTATCAACAAGGGCCTTCCTCAAGGCTTGGTACAAGCACCGTCGTTATTTAACATCATATATGTCATCTGCCATGGACATGATCTGGCAGTACATACTCGTAGATGACATAGCCCTTGCTGCACAGGGCATACACCTCTAGAACATTGCCAATACTCTTAAACGCTGATCTTAATCGCATATTTCATATATCACTTGAAACACATCGCATTACCGCATCACATTCCATACATCACATTAAACACCGCATTAGCGCCTCACCTTCAAGCTCCCAAAAAAAGAGATTTGTGAGAAGACGAATTCAAGAGCCGCCCTGCTACAGAAACTTGCGACTTGGGGCGCCTCGGCGGATAAACTGCGACCTGCCGCCCTCTCATCGATGATCTGCTCAGTGGCAGAGTCCCCTCCTACACTCCAGCCTGGCCCCCCCTCCTCCAGCCTGGGGCCCCCCCTCCTCCAGCCTGGGCCCCCCCTCCTCCAGCCTGGGCCCCCCCTCCTCCAGCCTGGGCCCCCCCTCCTACACTCCAGCCTGGCCCCCCCTCCTCCAGCCTGGGGCCCCCCCTCCTCCAGCCTGGGCCCCCCCTCCTCCAGCCTGGGCCCCCCCTCCTCCAGCCTGGGCCCCCCTCCTACACTCCAGCCTGGGCCCCCCCTCCTACACTCCAGCCTGGGCCCCCTCCTACACTCCAGCCTGGCCCCCCCTCCTCCAGCCTGGGGCCCCCCCTCCTCCAGCCTGGGCCCCCCCTCCTCCAGCCTGGGCCCCCCCCTCCTACACTCCAGCCTGGGCCCCCCCTCCTACACTCCAGCCTGGGCCCCCCCCTCCTCCAGCCTGGGCCCCCCCCTCCTACACTCCAGCTTGGGCCCCCCCCTCCTCCAGCCTGGGCCCCCCCTCCTCCAGCCTGGGCCCCCCCTCCTACACTCCAGCCTGGGCCCCCCCCTACCTCCAGCCTGGGCCCCCCTCCTCCAGCCTGGGCCCCCCCCTCCTACACTCCAGCTTGGGCCCCCCCTCCTCCAGCCTGGGCCCCCCCCTCCTACACTCCAGCCTTGGCCCCCCCTCCTACACTCCAGCCTGGGCCCCCCCCTCCTCCAGCCTGGGCCCCCCCCTCCTCCACTCCAGCTTGGGCCCCCCCTCCTACACTCCAGCCTGGGCCCCCCCCTCCTCCAGCCTGGGCCCCCCCCTCCTCCACTCCAGCTTGGGCCCCCCCTCCTCCAGCCTGGGCCCCCCCCCTCCTACACTCCAGCCTGGGCCCCCCCTCCTCCACTCCAGCCTGGGGCCCCCCCTCCTACACTCCAGCCTGGGCCCCGAGCTCCCCCGACACAAAGCCACCAGCTGCACCATTCGTTAACACGATGGGCATCCTGAGCAGAACACGGACACCGGTCACCCGGCTCTCTGTTCTAGTGGCCATGCTGCCACCAATATTTTGTAGAGACACGCAAACTGCAAATGAGTTTACACGTTTTTTTGCGAACAATAATCGACCCATCCACCACGACTTAAACAATGCACCTTACCACCGATTTAAGTCCCGATCCCCCTTCTGGGAACACGCTGTCACCATCATAGAATATCACCCAGATCCAGAAGCACGCTGCTAGCGAACAGTGGAACAACACGGGCGTCCAGAACAAACTCCTCATTCGAGACCCAAACATCACATCTGCTGGCTTTGACATTCTTCGAAGACACTGGTGTAACCACCAACCGCATCAAAACATCAACACACCGATGCACACATCTAATGGAGAAATACAGACAAGCCAGAGAAGTGCAACTGTGGTGATGCAACTCAAACTACGGACCACGCAGTAAACCACCATAGTTAGCAACCCTTCAATAAAGGATTGGCAAAACTACACAAACTCTATCCTTAGGCCCTCTCATCGTGGCCAGCAGACCTCGATATTGCCATTTTGCTCGAGAACATATTGCCATGCTCAAGGATTGGATCGCTATGCATCTTTCACAACTTAAGAGCACCCATTGATGTATGTCAGACTCATAACAATGGCTCACTACACAGTTTAACTGCTATGGTTCAGTTTTGATAATTGTATCACAATGGTTGACTTTACAGTTCAATTACAATGACTGACATTTATACTTAACAGAAAGGGCATCCACAAGGCCAGAGATATTGCCGATCTAAATGACTGGACGTTAAGGAAGCGGTTCCATCTCACCAGTATCGGCTGTAAGCAAACTGCCCAGAGGTTACCCGAGTTCTTCTGCCGTCGTAAAAATGTCCCTCTACAGCAGGGGTCCTCAAACTACGGCCCGCGGGCCACATGTGGCCCGCCGAGGACATTTATCCGGCCCGCCGGGTGTTTTTGCCGCCGCTGCCTGTCTGTTACTTTTTTTCTACATGAGAAGGACGGTCATTGGTGGAAGAGGGAGAGGGGGCGGAGTTCCCCCCAATCAGACTGCATTGATGGGCAGTGCAGTCTGTATGTCTCTGTGTGGGCAAAGTTATTGCTGGTATATTGTTTTTGTAGCGCTGTATATATATTGGTATTTTACTAACATCAATTTTGACTCCCTAGGAAACAATGATGTCAAGAAAGAGAAAAATTTACTCGGAGTGTAGGATATTCAAAGAACAGTGGACTTATGATTACTTTTTCATGCAGTACAAGGAAAGAGCTGTGTGTCTGATATGCCAGAATATAGTGTCTGTGTTCAAAGAATACAATTTACGTCGACACTATGTAACTCAACATGAAGATAAATATGCTTGTTTGGTCGGAGAAGTGAGAAAAGATAAAATATTAAAACTGAAAAATACATTAACAACTCAGCAAAATACTTTTGTGAAGCAGAAGCAGATACATATTTCATCACTGCGAGCAAGTTTTCAAGTTGCCAAGCTAATAGCGTGCACTGGCAGACCATTCGTGGAGGGAGAATTTGTTAAAGAATGCATTCTTTCTGTTGCCAAAGAGATGTGTCCAGAGAAGGCCTATTATTTAGTACAGTGAGTCTTTTAGGACCTACAATTACACGGAGGATTGAAGAAATGGGAGACAATTTGTATTAGCATTTGCAAAACTCCACAAAAAAACTTTCCTATTTTTCCTTGGCACTCGACGAAAGCAAGAGATGTTCGTGATTCTGCACAACTTCAAATTTTTATTCGTGGGACGAATGACTATTTCGAAGTCACAGAAGAGCTTGCTGCACTGCAAAGCATCAAAGGAACTACAGGAGAGGATATCTTTCGATTTAAAGCTTTCGTGACTGCAGGGATTCATCTTCTTGGTTCTTTCGGTAAAGTCACATAGAAGGGAAGTAATAAAATAATTCTCACGACGTTTCGGCCACAACGCAAGCAGCCGTCCTCAGGTGAAAACCAGGCCTGTTGGGGAGACAGCGTCTGAATGAAACAGCACACGAGCTTGGAGCATATATAAGCTGGGTTGGAAGCGGGGGACAGAGCGCTTTGACAAAAGAATTTGCATATCAAGAGGAATTTAGCATATTTATGGGAAATTCAGGAATGTGATTAGTACTACATATGCCCGTGCTGCATATTTAGTACTAATAACATTCCTGCATTTCCCATAAATATGCTAAATTCCTCTTGATATGCAAATTCTTTTGTCAAGGCGCTCTTTCCCCCGTTTCCAACCCAGCTTATATATGCTCCAAGCTCGTGTGCTGTTTCATTCAGACGCTGTCTCCCCGACAGACCTGGTTTTCACCTGAGGACGGCTGCTTGCGTTGTGGCCGAAACGTCGTGAGAATTATTTTATTATGTTTTATTTATATTATTTTATTACTGCCCTTCTACGTGACTTTACCGAAAGAACCAAGAAGAGAGGATATGTATGAAAAGGTTTGCCAAACTGTGAATGGTTTGGAGCTGAACTGGGCTAAACTAGCCAGTGTGACAACTGATGGTGCTCCTAGCATGGTGGGGTCTAAGAAAGGAGTAATTGCTCGCATTAACCAAGAGATGGACAAACATAACCATTCTCATCCAATAGCCATACACTGCCTCATCCACCAACAAGCGCTGTGTAGTAAATCACTGAAGTGGGACTCGGTTATGAAATTTGTGGTATCTTGTATTAACTTCATTAGAGCTCATGCACTAAACCACAGACAATTTCAGGCATTTCTGTCTGAGCTAAATGTTGACTATGAAGATGTTC